CAGAATATGAGTCTGATACTGCTCCATAGAGCTGTGATTATGGGGCGTGTTTCAAACGAACCAGGAAAAAAAAATGCCTCTGCAGTCAATTGGATAGACCTACAACCAATAAGAGCAACGGAGTGCGTGACGTATGTTAAGCAACGCATAGTTGTTGTCAACAAAAATTAAAACATGCAGTACCACGCCTAGAATAAGAAGATGAGCCTTCATAGCGTTTCTCTTGTTCCTCTTTTAAAATTAATTTGCTGTCGATATCTTCTAGAACAGACCTAATAGCAGAATCTACACACCTCAACTCTCCAGCGGCAGCCATGGTTTTTGTCACCCAAGCGCGCTTTGGTGACGTGGTTGATTACGTTACTGTTGATCATCTGTCCATCATTGTATAAAGCCCGCCCTGACAATTTGATTTGCCCGCCAGATATTGTGCGAGCATACTCCCGCTACTATTGAGCAATGCCAGACCGAACTTCCCGACCTCAAACGTTGTGGGCGGGACTAAGTTCGGAATGGCACCCAGGCATATCCACACCAAAAATAAAACTTCAAGGATAATTTTAATAATTAATGGGAAACAAAATAATACCGGTCTGAGAGCATGTATTTGCTACCTTTTTTTAAATGACCCATTATAATTATATTTTGATTAACTCATTTTTACCTGACATGGTGTTTATTACTTAGAAGGATCTGGATTTTATGTTTTGTTCCTTTTATTTTCAATATTGTTTTATATATTTGTATTTTATATAGTTTTTTGTTAATCTAAGTACATTTTATGATGTATTTTTTTTTCTGCTTTTGTGCAGCAATTTGGCCCTAAGTGCTATATAAATAAATTTGGACTGGGGTAAAATAACATTTCTGCCAGACTATTAGAACCAAGAACTCCCTCAGATAGAACCTGTCTGACAACATGAAGTTGGCAAAAAGAAGAAAATATAAAACAGTGGTGAACCCTCAGCTTATAAATGAGGGTGGAACAACCAGCAAAACCAGAAATAGATTTCATAGACCTGTTTATACATTTACTTAAATATTTTAACAGCGTGCAACTTAATAAAACAAAGACCAGCATACTTCTCATTGATGACTATGATTGGTGCAGTTGAAAATATATCTTTCCCAAAAAATAAAGGATTTTTTTTTAGCTCTCTCTGATCAGGGCTTAGAAAAACTGCAAAATCCTACAAGTTTAGTAAAGGTTCTTAAGAAATTAGTAAAGACCTTTAAAGGCATGACTGAGATACTACAGATTTAGAGATTTTATTAAACCTGACTAAAAATGTACAGGTGTATAGCCACCTTGCAGAGGCCTTTGGGAAGACCCACAGTGCCACAACCATAAGATATGTAACTAGTTCCCTCCAATGAGAACAGGTAAAATGTTTCAATTGACAGATAGGAAAGAGATTGAGCGATTTAGCCAGACTGATACATTTTTTAAAAGAGTATTTATAGTATAGCTGCCATAAAGTTGGTAGAATAATATAGATCTAGATTATTACACTTCAATTCCAATCAAACTGTTCACAATAAAGTCCAGGCCACATTTCAGTCTCTAACAGGATAACAATCCTAAACACAGATCCAACTAGTTTATGACTGCCTTTCTAAATCCCCAGCCTCAACTGCAAAACTGTAGTCTACATATTTTAAAGTGTATTTCCTTCTGGGTCTATGATATGTAATAAATTTTCCAAATTTGCAAAGAAAATGAATCAAATGGTGGTATGAAATGCAAAAGAGCATTCGACCAAATTTAGTGCCGGTGTATGTATGTAATTGAGCTTGTATGCATAATTTTGACTGTAGTAGAATAGAGTAAATCCATCTTAATTTCAAGCTAGAGCAGCATATTATTCTGTTCTATTATATTTTATTCTAGAAAAATATCATTTTAGATGAATAATTGAGAGAACAGAATGAATGTGACATTTTTGCCAATGGTGGGTGGATGTAAATTTTAGGACTTCTGCACTTTTTTTTGCGACTTAATGCAAATGTCAGATTCATTTTTAAATTTAAAAAACATATAAACCGAAAAAAAAGGCATTTAAATAAGCTTTTTGTATAACAATAAACCGCAATGGCAACGACTACAATGGATTTGATTACATTTCTGAAACGGTTTTGAACGTTTTTGTGTTTGTAGGAAGCTAATGAAGGCTAAGGGGCCTGCAGCAGCTAAAGTAGAGGAAGAGAAGAAGAAAGGACACGCGCTATTCGGCCCCAAACCGCCAACACCCAAACTGCTGCGAGCTTTTGGAGGACACATTAACAAAGACATGTTTGACAGACTGAAGGTTAGTTAACAATCGTTATACCAAAAAATGTAATATAGTTCATGTGAAGAATTTGTCATTAAAGTAGTTTGGTACAATTATCTTTGATATGTTTTCTTTTTTCACACAGAAATCTGGTGACCAGTGAGGGCTCAGATGAACTCTGTATTCATGTTGATTTCTCCAGTTTTGGGAGTAAAGTTGAAGATTTTTATTTTTTTTTCAGATTCTTTGCACTGTTTTATATCTTTTTTTTTTTGTGGTATGTTTCCTCTCAGTGGAAGATTACACTTTAGATGGACAGATTTGTTAGCTTTAAGCCCAATATTTTGCTCCCAAAACTAAAGGGATGCTGTAAATCTAATGTGGAGATAAAACCAAAGTAGCGGTTATAAACAGTGGCGGTTCTCGATAGGATGCCGTCTGTCTTTCTGTGCCAAGGTTGTTTTTTTTGTTTTTGTTTTTTTATAATCACAAATTGAATCGTGCTTTTTGACTTTCATAATTTAAGTCTGTTTTAAAAAAAGCTGTGTATCAGTTTTAATCAGTGTGTCCTCAGTCCACACTGATTACATTCTGCATCTCCTCCGTCTGTTGTAGCAAAGAGCACAGTGAGAAAATCCACACTGGATCCTTGTAGGATCTGTTCATGCAAAGCAATCCCCTCTATTTGATGTCTGACTTTCTCTCTGGCTCAGCTTTTTTTTTTTTTTAAATCAACACATTTTGCTCCATCATCTGTTAAAAACAGACTCCATCTCCGATGGAATCACAGAGGAGGTTTTTCTGTCATGCCGCCGCGTAAAGGAGTGAGTCTTATTTTCTGCATTATCCAAAATGCCATATTTTTGCAAAGAAGAGCAAAACACAAAGATTCTGTGTGAAGCTGACATTACAGTGTTTTCATTATAATTATGTTTGTTAGTAAGCAACAGAAACATTTGCCCTGACCACAAAGAAATTACCGTAATTGTGCAAATCATTCAGGAGTTACTTCACAGGGGTCAATTTTGGGACACCAGGTAAATATTGTTTTGGAAGCCAGCTTCAGATTAGGAAGATTTCAAATAGCATTTATATCTTTTTTAAAGCCATGACAGTAAGCCACATGCTCCTCTACTGTATGGTGCCATTTTACTGTATATACTTTGCATGAGTTGTTTTCTTTGACTGTCATAGCACCACCTATGGGCCATCTATCAACAGTTTTAAAATATCAAGATTTTATTCAACAGAGATATAAGATATATAAGTCTGTATCATTTATAGCGAGATAGTCGACATTGAAATATTATAGTTTTAAAAGTGCCATTAGGTAAATTTTCAGTTAGTTTAGACATGATCTCATGTGTATTTTTATAGAAAATGGGCCTGTTGGACACAGTGAAGTGTGACAGTAGGAAAAAAAGCTTTTTGATCTGGAGAGCCCCAGACTAATTTATGCTGTGTACACAGCATGTTTGTCTGGAAGGAAGCGTGTAGCCCGATTTCAAAAGTTGGATCAACAGTGTCAGTGGAAACAGTTTAGAACCAATCAGATAACTATATCTTTTTTTGTAAAATAAAAAAGAAAAGATATAAACAGCCCTCTGGGAACATAATAAATCAATTAAACATCGCCATGTTGCATCTGTAATCTTGTCACTATGATTGGTCCTGTTGGTTTTGCAGCGGAGAGTATTGAGCCTCACCAGCAGTCCGGCTGGCCAGGATTATTGAGGGATGCCCTTTTATAATTACTTTATAAAAAGAAAACATATCAGGATAAATATAGTTTATTGCCACAGAGTTTAAAAATATTGGGATATTATTTTTGGTCCATATCGCCCAGCCCTATGTACGATAGCGTAGCGCTTCTGTGGACATTATTTGTTTTTGTCTTCATGTGCAGAGAACCTAACAACAATTGTAATTTTGCCACCCCATGATGAAATGGTGCCCTGGGTGGCAGGCCCTATGGCCCATACCTATATCAAAAACCGTCACTGGTTAGAAAACGCAGTGATTACATGATCTACTTCCAAAGTTGTTGTTTAATATACAATGAAAAAAAGAAATCTAAGTAAGTTATTTTTTTCTTAAAATAAGTTATTTTCTTCTTGAATTTAGGAGGTAAGTGAGACACTTTACCACTGGAACAAGACTATTTATGTTTAAAATAAGAACAAAACAATTGCATTTTCTTATTTCAAGTGCATATTATCTAATTGTCTTATTTTAAGAGTAAAAATACTTATTCCTTTGGAAAATAATATTATTTACCAACTCAAATTAAGGGTAAATACATTTAATATAAGGACGTTTTACTTATTTCTAGATTATTTTTTGCTGTGTTGTTTTGTCTTACACTGGTTGCTTTTTATTGGTGATTATGGAGCTTGACACTATAAGCCAAACTGATTTAATACAAATTTAATGTAATATTTGACTGATTTAATCTTCCATATTTACCTTAATAAATGAATGGCAGATGCTACAACAGTCTGATTTGTTTTCTTGTGTTTGTTCATTTATTGTCAGTCCCTCAGCCTCAGGTTTGCACAGCAGAAGCTCCAGATCCCGTCTAATCCTGTTAGTCAGACAGCGACATTGTGAAGGCTGATTAACTGCACGGCCTCTTTTTGAACTCTGCATCAAAAGGGGATTCTAAGAAACCGAGAAAAGGGAAATTTTAGTTTAATCTTTCTTACCTTTACATAGTCTTTCATTTGGATTAACCTTAAGACCTAACAATAAGCTTAATACTTCATATAGTATAAATATTATGTAACTAATATGTAATAATTGCAAATTCACCTGTTTAAATCAGACTCTTTCCTGTACAGCATCAGCCGGCCAGGCAGGGATTGGTGGGTGTGATATCTCATCTGGTGCTGGCCCTGGCAAAAAGGAGGAGTGCCCACAGGGAATTACCGATTCTAAGAAATGTAAAAGCCTCAGTGTGTTGCTTAGAGCTGAGAGGGCAGTTCACAGGGTTCCCTCAGTTAGGAAGTGGCTAGAAGAAGTGGATTGACTGACCTGCTCCCTGTAGCCCACGGGAAATCCTTCGAACATGTTTAGCCGGTTGAAAAGGTTGTTGGGAGCTCGTGACCCTTCGACTGCCCATTCAACCACTCCTTCAACCACACCAGCTCCTCCAGCCAAGGTAAGACCCGGTCATCCCTGAATTTCTTTAGATGTAAAACAGAGGAAATGACATGTGTAGCTAAAACCTAAAAGCATTAAGATTATTCAGCTCTAACTCCACATATAATGTAGAAAGTCTGCTTCTTGGATGGCGATGGGCTGTAGCAGGTCGTGATCAGTGAAAGTTTCAGAAGCTGCCTGACATTGATGTGGAGTGGACCTGATATTTATCGCAGAGTTAAGTCTTCTGTCAAAATGGAATGGTTTAATTGAAACCAAAAAACTCATAATATTATATAAAAGACTCACAACCCTGTTTCTTTCCCCACCATATGACTTTTAGTCAGTCTAAGCGTTCCCTTTTTTAGGTCAGGGAAGTCAATCAAATTATCTATATTTTCTCAGTGCCATAGTAATAAAATAAATCTTTTTAACATGTCTTCGTATTTAAATGCTTTTGTTTTTTTATTTCAATCTTTTTATAGAATTGCTCTAAACTCAATGATCCTGGTCAAATTTTACAGCTATCCTCTCACAATAGTTAGCTTTAAATCTGGCCTCTACTGTCTTACAAAACCTAATGCCTTTTATTCAATGTTGTGATAACAGAATGAGAAAAATGTTTATTCTTAGACAGAATATCTCCATATCTAGTTTCAACTGTGGCGAAATGAGGTATGAGAATTAAACGTTGGGGCTTATTACTCAGTGGTTAAAGCTCGGAAACCAATCCACAACCAAATAATTCAATGTTTAACAATTTTTTTATCAAAAAAAAAAACCCTTGATGCTTCTATCAAGCTGCCTAAATGTAAATGGATGAAATTACTATTTCAGATATGATAAGAATTAAGACTACCATCAGCTGATCCATTTTGATTTATTTTTTTTAACAATGTCCTGTCTGGCAATGTGATAATAAGAATAATTGTGTTAATTCCAAAAAGAGCCCAACAGATTTTACTCGATTTTGCTCACAAGTGGAGCATTACGGCTATCGCCATGGTGTTCCGCTTGATTTATGCATATAAATAGCTTTATTGTAATACATGCAGGGTGAATTACAGATTATATGGACTCTAAAATGTAAGTAGCACAGGAAAGGAAAAACAGGAGAAAAGATGAAAGAAAGAGGAGATAATAGGGGATACAAAAGGGAGATAACAATAAAACATCTTCAGTCTGCTTTATCACCTGCAAAGATGTAAAAAGAACAGCACAACCAACGGATATAGTATAAATTTACACCTTGATACTATCGCTTAAGTAAGTAGTATTATTTAATGTGACATGTATACTGTGGTAGCTGAAGATCAGAATATGGGCTTTCTGTATGGAAGGCCGAGGTAAATCTTATAGAAATCTAATAAGGGTTATACTCATTAAGTTTTAAAATCCCTGAGTTTGAGCAATAACCCTGTCGGTTTATGAAATTAAGGAGGATTTAACTCAGGTGGTAACATAAGGCACTGAAATTCAAATAGCTTTTCTTTGTTAATTACAGGAGGAGACATTACCAGAAAAAAAAGATGACATAGAAGAAGAGCCAAAGACAACAAGTGAAAAGAAAGAGGCAGAGAAAAATGTTGAGGAAAAAGAAGAGGAAATTAAGGAATCGAAAAAGGACGATGGGCCCAAGAAGGAAGAACCGGCGACCGGTGAGCTCCAACAGATTTTGGCAGAACAGTTTATATTTCAACAGCACTTCAGCTGTCACACAGCCCCTTGTTTGGCAAGAAATATGTGTCAATAATAAAGTGATTTTAGATGTCACTCTAAGGCACTAAACCAACAGTCATTGCTGTTTTTTCAAAGGCAACGAAAACACATAAGGATGCATTCAAAATGTTTTCTTTGCTGAGCCCAAAAACCTCAAACAGAAACTTTAGTTGGTGTGTTACATGTTTTAAAACCTCAACTGAAGTTTTGAATTTGTTTAAATTTTTCTAACTCACACAGCACCACTGATTAATTTCTAGCCTTGAAAGGGGCTGGAGATTAATCCAATAGTAAATCTGATGCCTTTAAATGAAGCTAAAATAAAAAGTCTAATTGTTAAAACTTGAATACAGTTAAATGTCTCAGTTAGACAATGATCCAAAATCTGGAAATAAAAGGCTTTTAGAATCAATAGTGCAAGGTAATATAAAGCTTCTGGAATGCTTAGTGTGAGGGATTTCCTTTGAGTCAATGAGTCGATACAATCAACTGGTTTTCCTTAGATAGAAAACTTTGAATCAATTTGACTGTATGATCTCGTTGAACTGTAAAGTGCCATGAGATGACATATGTGTCATGATTGGTTTAAGTGATCTGACCCACATGCAGAGAACCACCCAGAGACCAAGGGAAAAAGTTTAACAGGTTTATTAAATGATGATGAATAACAGAAGTTGGGTCTGGGACTCATTGGGCTGGTGAACCAGAACTGGAAAGTCTGAAGGGGAGATCACAGTGATCAGTTCAGGGACCGTAGGAAATTTTACTGAGGCTTGAATTATACTGGAGATGGACTCACGTTTGTGGGGGCTCTTGTTAATCCTTGAGGGGATGTGGGGGTTAATGCAGAGAAGAGGGAACTTGTTGGAGAGCGGACAGATAGACAAGCGTTGGACCCAGAGGAATAAAGGAGCGGACTGTCACTTGGATTTCCGATGAGGACTTAAACGGATCATGTGGAGGTTTTCTCCTGCTCAGTATGTACTCACTTAATCATTCCAGGGGGAGAAGGTCCAGGTATCGAGTTACTCAGTAAGACTTCCTGCAGAAGAGGAAAGACAAAAATTAGATAAGACTCAGAGAAACAAAGCTTAGGTTAGACTCTGCTAATCTCAGCTTGGCTAGAGTCCCCAAAATGGCAAACACTCTGGCGTTGAGGTAGTGACAGCCCACTGCTCAAATACTCCTCCGGTAATGAACCAACGAGCTACAGGTGTGTTGGGAGGCCCAACAAGGACAGGGCACCACCTGGTGGTGGAGAGAGAAAAACACACAAACTGTATTCCTAACAATATGTTGTGAATTGGCGCTATATAAATAAACTGAATTGAACTGAATACCCAAACATCAGCCCTGTTGAACATTTTATATGATCTATGGCTACATTTTCATATCTGTGCAATAAAGCTGAACAATATAACACAAGGTATGTTTAATCAATTCCAGGAAATAAACATGGCCATATTTAGGACAAAACTCTCTGCATCATAGGAAAGGATTAATAAACAGTCTTTTCAGGGTTGTATGCATAGGCCCAACTGTAGATTTGAGGCTGTGTGTATTATGTCATTCTATTAAAAAGAGATAATCAACCAACATACTTTAAACTTTTCTTTCTAGCACTTGGTTTTAAAAGTCTCATATAGTCTACATCTATTATTCACTGCCTGAAATAAACATGACTGGCATGCTGTTGATGCTCATGTAATTTTTGGTACTGTACTGCATACTATCTGCAACTAATTTATATATATATATATATATATATATATATATATATATATATATATATATATATATATATATATATATATATATATATATAAACTGTTTTCTCACCTCTCGTGGGGTGGTATGTGTCATCCTCAAGCTCGGGTCCTCTACCAGAGGCCTGGGAGTTTGAGGGTTCTGCGCAGTATCTTAGCTGTTCCTAGGACTGCGCTCTTCTGGACAGAGACCTCTGATGTTTTACCTGGAATCTGCTGTAGCCACTCTCCCAGTTTGGGGGTCACAGCCCAATTACCACTGGCACTACTGCCACATCTTTTCTAGCTCCTCCTTCAGTCCTTGGTATTTCTCAAGCTTCTCGTGTTCTTTCTTCTTGATGTTGCTGTCGCTTGGGATTGCCACATCTATCACTACTGCCTTCTTCTGCTGTTTGTCGATCAACACGATGTCTGGTTGGTTAGCCATCACCTGTTTGTCAGCCTGGATCTTGAAGTCCCATAGGATCTTAGCTCGGTCATTCTCAACTACCTTAGGAGGTGTGTTCCATTTTGACCTTGGGACTTCCAGCCCATACTCATGGCAGATGTTCCTGTACACTATGACAGCTACCTGGTTGTGGCGTTCCATGTATGCACTTCCTGCCTGCATTTTACACCCCGCTGTTATGTGCTGTATTGTTTCAGAGGCATCTTTGCACAGTCTGCATCGGGGATCCTGCCTGGTGTGGTAGACCCTGGCCTCTATTGATCTTGTACTGAGTGCCTGTTCTTGTGCTGCCATGATTAGTGCCTCTGTGCTGTCCTTCAGTCCAGCCTTTTCCAGCCACTGGTAGGATTTTTTGATATCAGCCACTTCTTCTATTTGTCAGTGGTATACGCCGTGCAGCAGCTTGTCCCTTCATGATGGTTCTCCTTCCTCTTTCTTGTCCTCACTTTCGGTTTTCTCCTGCCTGAGGTACTCACCAAGCCATTTGTCTTTGGGGGCCATCTTTCTGATGTACTCCTGGATCTTAGTTGTTTCATCCTGGACAGTGGTCTTGACGCTCACTAGCCCTCTGCCTCCCTCGCTACGCTTGGTGTACAGTCTCAGAGTGCTGGATTTGGGGTGGAACCCTCCATGCATTGTGAGGAGCTTTCTCGTCTTGATGTCTGTAGCCTCTATCTCCTCCTTTGGCCAGTTTATTATACCAGCGGGGTATCTGATGACTGGTAGGGCATATGTGTTGATGGCTTGGATCTTGTTTTTCCCATTCAGCTGACTTTTCAGGACCTGCCTTACTCTTTGTAGGTATTTAGCTGTGGCAGTCTTTCTTGCCATCTCCTCAAGGTTTCCGTTAGCCTGTGGCACCCCAAGGTATTTGTAGCTGTCCTGAACATCTGTTATGTGGCCTTCTGGTAGTTCAACCCCCTCGGTTCTGATCATCTTCCCTCTCTTTGAGACCATGCGACCGCACTTGTCCAGTCCGAATGACATCCCAATGTCGTTGCTGTAGATCCTGGTAGTGTGGATCAGTGAGTCGATGTCTCGCTCACTCCTGGCATACAGCTTGATGTCATCCATGTAGAGGAGGTGACCGATGATTGTTCCGCTTCGGAATTGGTATCCGTAGCCAGTCTTTGTGATGATCTGGCTGAGGGGGTTCAGGCATATGCAGAACATACACTATATTGCCAAAAGTATTTGCTCACCCATCCAAATTATTGGAATCAGGTGTTCCAATCACTTCCATGGCCACAGGTGTATAAATTCAAGCACCTAGGCATGCAGACTGTTTTTACAAACATTTGTGAAAGAATGGGTCGCTCTCAGGAGCTCAGTGAATTCCAGCGTGGAACTGTGATAGGATGCCACCTGTGCAACAAATCCAGTCGTGAAATTTCCTCGCTCCTAAATATTCCACAGTCAACTGTCAGCTGTATTATAAGAAAATGGAAGTGTTTGGGAACAACAGCAACTCAGCCACGAAGTGGTAGGCCACGTAAACTGACGGAGCGGGGTCAGCGGATGCTGACGCGCATAGTGCGAAGAGGTCGCCAACTTTCTGCAGAGTCAATCACTACAGACCTCCAAACTTCATGTGGCCTTCAGATTAGCTCAAGAACAGTGCGCAGAGAGCTTCATGGAATGGGTTTCCATGGTCGAGCAGCTGCATCCAAGCCATACATCACCAAGTGCAATGCAAAGCGTCGGATGCGGTGGTGTAAAGCACGCCGCCACTGGACTCTAGAGCAGTGGAGACGCGTTCTCTGGAGTGACGAATCGCGCTTCTCCATCTGGCAATCTGATGGACGGGTCTGGGTTTGGAGGTTGCCAGGAGAACGGTACTTGTCTGACTGCATTGTGCCAAGTGTAAAGTTTGTTGGAGGGGGGATTATGGTGTGGGGTTGTTTTTCAGGAGCTGGGCTTGGCCCCTTAGTTCCAGTGAAAGGAACTCTGAATGCTTCAGCATCCCAAGACATTTTGGACAATTCCATGCTCCCAACTTTGTGGGAACAGTTTGGAGCTGGCCCCTTCCTCTTCCAACATGACTGTGCACCAGTGCACAAAGCAAGGTCCATAAAGACATGGATGACAGAGTCTGGTGTGGATGAACTTGACTGGCCTGCACAGAGTCCTGACCTCAACCCGATAGAACACCTTTGGGATGAATTAGAGCGGAGACTGAGAGCCAGGCCTTCTCGTCCAACATCAGTGTGCAACCTCACAAATGCGCTTCTGGAAGAATGGTCAAAAATTCCCATAAACACACTCCTAAACCTTGTGGACAGCCTTCCCAGAAGAGTTGAAGCTGTTCTAGCTGCAAAGGGTGGACCGACGTCATATTGAACCCTATGGATTAGGAACGGGATGTCACTTAAGCTCATATGTGAGTCAAGGCAGGTGAGCAAATACTTTTGGCAATATAGTGTATATATATATATATATATATATATATATATATATATATATATATATATATATATATATATATATATATATATATATATATATATATATATATATAAATGCATTCCCTCCATTAGGTTACTTGTTATGTTTTAACCAAAGGGCTTCCTGTAAAATATAAACACTAATGAGTTAATATGGAACAAATTCACTGTCTGGAGTTTATATATTGTACCAACAAAAAACTTTTACCCAAAGCTTACCTTTTTACGATAGCATATGTTTAAAACTGAAGTTTCTTGTTTAATTTCCGATATAGTTTATAACACAAAGCTCAACTAATCCATAGGTTGGCGACCCTTTGATTTTTTCATAGGTCAAAGAGTCGTGTATTTACCATATATGGTATCATTACCTTAAACCAGTAAATAAGGATGATTTTGCAGAAGTTTCTTGGTGTTTTTAACAATCTTTATTGAAATTATATTTTAAAACATTTGTATTACAGTATTTGTCAGCAGCAAAGTACTGCAGCGGCAGAGTACTGCAGTTAAAACCAAGCCAAAGGTTTTGCTGAATATTTCTTGCAGATCCTGCTCCAGCTGTTCAGGCTCCAGCTGCTGCTCCAGCTCCTGCCACCCCAGTAAAGCCAGACGGGGCTGAAGGGTAAGAATGTATCATCATCATTGAGTATGGATCCACTCCCAATGTATCATATCATAAACAATGGATTCAGGTTACAGAAGGGATAGATCTATGTTTAAAAGTCATGGGAACTGATTGTTCAGATTCATGGAAAAGGGATCCCTTTTCAGTCCGAATTTTAAGAATTGCTTTAAAAGAGCAACCTTTGTGAAGGCTGGAACAGTAAGCTTTAACATGAACACAAAGAAAGCAAACTTTATAGAAGAAAATCTAATATGGATTAACTCTTTTCTCCGCACCAAGTACATAAAAGCCAATAGAAGAAGATAACATGTCCAAATATGTCCTGCTAAGACCATCTACAAATGTTCAAGTGTTCCTTTTGGAAACAGATCTATTTTGAATCGTTGGTAACTCTGTTACCGTCACCCATGACTGAAGTCTATATACCTTGTGCATCCTACTGCAGGAAAAGGGCGTTGCCATTTATACAATCCCTACTGGAAGTGCACCTCAGAAGTTTTTTTTTCTTTGTACAAATATCTAAATAAAAATCTTAAAAATATTTCAACTCAAAACGCTGAATTCAAAATATTGATTTAAACTTTAATTTCTAGCTATGTCACATAAATGACCCTTAGCAGCTACTTGTAAAGAGGTTTAAACACTGAACTTTGTTTAATTGTTCATCTAGATTTTTAATATCATTATGTCTCCATTAGGCCCGAATTCAGTTTTGGTACCAAATGACAGCTCTGTTCCTCTGCAGCACGGTACCCATGACCCAACTACTGACACACCAAGGTTTTCTCCGTGTTCCTTTTAGGGCATAGAGCTGTCATGTCGTTTGGCAATTTCCTTAGCAGCCAAAAGAACTCTGACTTAAACAGTAATTATGTTTAACAAGCAAGTTTTCAGGAACAAGCTTGATCTGCTTTATAAAAAACAGTCTCCTAATTTAGATTGCAGCTCTACAGCAAAACAGGCAAAAAAAAACTATAAACTTCTGAACTGTAAACCTCATAAAGGTTGATCCACTTACTTCAATGACCTTATGTCAGATCATGTATTCAGACATTTTGCATTTAAGATGAAGGCTCCTTACTTTTTGCTATTTTATTATTTATCTGATTTATTATTTAAAAAAATTCAGTTAGCAAAATAATCATTAGTTTCAATTCTAAGATGTATGGGATTTAAATTACAGTAATCCAACTCAATACATTAAGTATTTCCAATAACAGTGTCATGATTCCAGAAAAGAAGGACTTAATATTCAAGGCGAGACAGATAGTGGGATAAATCATAACATTTATTCAAACTATGGAACTGAGCGGGCTGTGGATCTGTGATATCAGGTGCTAGGAAATCTATCACTGGAAACTCTGTTAAGAAGAAACAAAGGTTAGTGACCACGTAAATCTAATGAAGGAAGATTAAGAACGTGAGTCACAAACATGGTTTAACAGTTCAGTCCATTGCCAGAGAATGAGGTACGATCCAGCCAGTGGGCTGACAACAAGATGCTGCGGGTGCCGCCCAGAGTGTCTCAGATGCTGCTGCTGCCCTAGGGAACATGCAGGAGTTCCAAGCCAGAACAAGGAAACAGAACAGGAACAGACAGGTTCAGAGGTCCAGGAGTCCAAAGACGGTTCAGGCAGAATGTTCAGACAGGAACAGACAGGCACAGTGGTTAAGAGGCAGAACAGGTCAGGAAATCTGAAAAACTAAAGTTTTGCAAAAAAAAAAAAACACTCTCTCCGCTGAGGTCAGACAAGAACAGGCACGCTCAGGGTATGAGAGGTAGAACAGGTCAGGATGAGGAAATCAGAAACACTATGGTACGCTAAAAAAAAACTCTCTCTACTGGCCAGCAAGTACGAGGTAATCTGGCCCTGATAGCTGGGTGCAAGAACCTTAAATGGAAGCAGGAGCAGGTGGATCAGTGAGCGGTAATGAGCAACTGGGCAGAGTAGACAGGTGAATGGAATGAATAATAAAGCCAATTATTAGCGCCAAGATGACAAACAGTTGCTGTTATTAACCTGCTTTTGCCTGTCCATATGCCAGTCCGAAAATTTTTTTGGACAAATAAATTTGTCTGGAAAGACACATTAAAATCAAGTTTAATCATCACTTGTGCATTAGAACTGAGATTCATATACAGTAAAATGTTTACTCTGTTACTGCATTGCCTCCAAAGAAAGATTACATTGCAGTACTCCATTTAAACTCACTTTTTCGTTTCTTGAAAACAGTAGAAGAAAACCAATATGCTAAAAGAGGATATATATTTTAATCTCTACTTTTTGATTTTGTGCTATAACATTTCTGTCATTTGTCTCTCTTATTTCATTTTTCTATGTCACACCAGGTTCATAGTCCTGCATTATCTCTCACAGTTAATGATGGTTACAGGGTTGTGATAGGAGTGGCTCTGATCAAAAGAATCTGTTTGACCTTTTTTTCCAAAGCATTAGGAGGTAAAAGGTGTTGCATTTTACAAAAATCTCTCTTCAAGTCTTGCTGTTCTGCTGCCTTATTGGACATACCATTAGGAAGCAAAGATATTTCATAGAAAGGTCAAGAGGTTCTCTGAGAGGCTAAATGTCAGCTTGATTTTTGACTTAAATTCATACAAGAAGCAAAAATATATTAACTGACAACTGCAGAATATTAATGACGGCAGATGTACATGGCACATAGAAATCTTACTAGTCCCCCCAAAGGCTGATATAACAGAATTCCCCAAAGTGCCACAAAATGAGATTCCTGGAATAGGCCAGAAAGAGAAAACAGACTAAGAAAAGAAAGACAAACTTAATCCTTAATCAGCTGCTGGCCTTCCAACTGAATTAGTGATCAGCAGGTATATAAAAAGGCTCCAGCAAGTATGTCTTTGATTCTGCTTTAGCTTTCTCTTTTATGATCCAATACATCGCACAAACTTAAGCCTATATATATATTTTTTTTAGGGCTGGGCGATATAGAAAAAAAGCTTATCGATAAAAAAAAATGCATATTGATCGATATAGATAATTATTGAAAAGATTTGAAACCATATTTTATGTGCAGCTTTTAATAAAGAACACAAACACAGACTTCGAATTAAATCTTTATTTAACCAACTTTTTTAACCATAACAGAATTGTTTTAAAGAAAAATAACTTAAGAGGCCTGAGTCATGTTATTAAATACTGACAAAGAATAAACTAAAGTGACCAGAAAAGTGACCAAAATAAATATAACAAATAAATAAATGGACCCCCCCCCTGCCACCACCACCCCCATTCTTCTTAGCTGAACCTGGTTCAGCTTAGTTTCCTGGGTTATTACTTTGAAGTTGCTGGCCCCTCAGCATTTTTCTCTCAATTGTTAGAACTACGTGGGAAACTGCCCAGAACTGAATATTTTTTATTTATTTTTTTCCCGAAATTCCCAAAGATTCCTCGGAGGAGAGCCGCGCCGGGGCCTACACATCTCGTACTCCTGTGGGTGTGAGCGGCTGAGATGATAAAAAAAAGTTGGTTGTGTTATCAGACTTCGTTTTCACTGGTTCCCTACACATTTTACAGATGACCGTGGTTTGTTTTTTGTCCGACTTGCCATGACCGAAATACTGCCAAAACAGCGAACTACAGAAACCCTTCTTTGGAACAATTTCCTCCGCCTCTCCTTGCTGCGACATCTTCATGTGCTCTGTGTTGTGGTTTGAGAGGGCGGCGCTTTGTGACGGCGCGCCTGGGTCCGCAATTGCGATTGGTTGGGAAGAAGTAGTGACTAGCATAAACCTACATGATAGGCTACAAGGAGAAGGAAGGAAAATTGCGTTTGTTTATCGAACTTTTATCGACTCTCTGTTTTTCTATTGCGCCACTTGTCTATCGATCGATATATATCGTTATTGAATTAACGCCCAGCCCTAATATTTTTTTTTACAATCTTTACAAATAAGAGATGCGTTTTGTACACAAAGGAAGTAAAATTATTGTAGCCTTCCCTGTTTATTATGGAAAAAAGCTTAAAACGTTTCTATAATTCCAGTCTTCAGTTAATTAGAAGGGGAAAAAAGGAGCTTTACAACCTCACCAAATTAATCCCACAGAGAGTAAAAGATGTTGCATATTATCAGTAAGGAGAAATCTTTGTGGTTTCAAAGTAAGCTACAGAAAGGCTAAGGGCTAACTTGGTAAGATGGGTTACTGGAAGGAATACGCAGAGCATCAAGACTGGCATCATTACATATTGACATGTGTAAGAGAGTAAGGCTTTCTATTCAATTTAAAAAGGTTTGGCTTCTTTTTTTGCAACAATTTGACATGAATTAGATACGTTTTTTTTATATTGCCTTAAGATGACATGTATTAGTTATAAATACATTCCATAATAATAAAATGACCAGAATTGTACCCAATTTAGTTGCATACACCTAAATGTGAAGCCTTAAACAGATCTGGTCCATCTGTGGCCTGCAGCTTGACTCCTAAATCAGGAAAGGAGATTAGGAGCTTATCGTAGCATTTTGGACTGAGGATAATCCCAGCCCACATTCACATGCAGGCTATAGTTAATTTGAAACAATAAGCTTTTCTCTGTCAGCAAAGTAGATGTTTTAAATATGATATATATTCACAGAAAAATATTGATGTTTTTGTTAAGCTTTCATATAAAATGTGGAAAATGCAACAATTCTGATCCTTTGCCCTCTAAAAGCAATCATGCCTGGTGAGCCACATTATGTTTTGACAAAATTTTGCAGACTGTAAAGTGGGAAAAAATTATATGTGATTTAAAATGTTTGTAAAATAAGATAATAATCTCAGTATTGTGGCTGTTATTTGCATACCGCCTCTTCACACCTATAGCTCTGGATAAAATGTATTGGGGCAGTCTTGGGAAACCACCTCATGATTAATAAAGGTCCAACTGCGTTCAATCTAATCCCAGTTTTATTCTTGATAGAAGGAGAAACACTGTAGACTTGGTTTGGAAAAATTTGGGAAAGCTGGTTGAACTGTAAAGTGCCTTGAGATGACATGTGTTGTGAATTTGCCGCTATATAAATAAACTGAATTGAATTGAATTGAAAACAGAGCTTTCAAATCCTATGGTGAAACAAGGTGCTGGCCATGTCATGCTCATGGGACAGGTCCAGATTGAAGTGCTACTTTGGTTGATCTATAACATACATATCCAGTATCCAAACATTGCAATTTGTGTTTTTTAATGCGAAAAAAAATGCGGAAATGTCCAAATGAAAGAAATATTTTTAAGGTCATCATGTTAGGTCATCATCTAAGCAGGTTATGTTACACCTCTTAGCCTGTAGATTCTTCGTTTCATCTCTCAGTGTTATGTCTCTCTGTTTCAGCGGGGAGCCCCCTTCCTCTCCTCCTGTTGTCTATTCCCGATACGCAGATGAGGTCCTAAGAAGTGTTGTAAAGAGCCTAAGAGAACGAACTGAACTGCTCAAAGAAAAGGTTATAGACCCTTACGCCACGTCTCCAGATATCACCCCACCTGTTAGTAAGTGTTAATTTAGGAATATTCCGGTTTTATTTACCGTAGTAAGACTAAATAGATTACCCCAGTGGTGTGTTTTCCTTTGCCTCTTCAGCGCCTGTTCTGAGAAAAGAGGACTATGTCAGACAGAAAGAAGAGGAGCGGATAGCGAAAGAAGAAGAAGACAGAAAGAAGGCAGAGGAAGCAGCCAAGAAGGCAGAGGAGAAAAAGAAAAAAGATGAGGAGAAAAGAATAGAGGCTGAGAAGAAAACAGAGGAGGAGAGGCTAGCGGAGGAGGTCAGGAGGAAGGCAAAGATGCTGCCAGACATCAGCTGCTCATGCTTTGACGTCCTCTTCCATCCAGTGGAGAAGATGATGGATACAGTGTTGGGAAGCACCATTGATCCCTTCACAGGTACCCCATGCCGATTATGCTACAACCAGTAAATAAATATGAATGTTTTGTAGTTTGAAACATTTTAGAGCATTTGTTATTTCCCTCATCAGATCGTCGGTACATCGGCTGGTTGACAGTCGTAGCCGTTGCTTATAACTACAACGTCTGGCTCAGCCCGGTCCGGCTGGCCTTCCCTTACCACAGCCAAACTACCATTCCTTTCTGGATATTTTTTGACATCCTCTCTGACATTGTCAATGTCATTGACATCGTGGTTTGGCAGCCCCGACTGCAGTTTGTCAAAGCTGGAGACATTATTGTAAGTCACAAAGCATCTCTGTTACAGAGGGGCACCCATTGGTTACAGGTAATAGACGGAAATGCAGCAATTTGATAGGACATCAGTAGATGCATTACAGACATGTTAGATGATGTCCTTAAAGAACATATAAGTAAATATGGCTGTTATCGGTAAAGACCAAAGTGGAAAATGAAAAATTCAGGTTAAGTAAACTGCATTTCTTTTCTGTTAAAATTGCTGGTCTTTGCTCCCATCAGTCTAATATGCATCTATGATCTTCATTTATGGTCTCAAAATTAAAACAATTCAAATGCACAAAAAATTGTAACAAAGAATGTCTGCATATACACATAATGATTCCTTTCTGTTCTACTTTTGGTTATTTATATTGAGGAGGCGTTGAATTTTAAAGCAAACATCCACTTTTTTGATTTTGATAATTACCAAGTCACTCCTTCTGAGTCTCAGTGTAACGAAAAACCTCTCTTTGCTGTTTTATTGGCTTTGTTTGAACACCATTAAACCCATCAGGACCTAACTATTATTATTTTACACAAAAGATTTAAGTGTAAAGTTGCTGTTGTCCGCACCGATGTGACATCATATGCAAACAATCTTTAGGGGCAGACATCACCAATCAGCAGTTGTTTAGGCTCAGAAGCAGAGCTTAAAAGAGTAAAGGCTTTAATTACTACTTTTACAACATTTTAAATCTTAATTTATAAATAAACTAATCAGAACAAGATTCATTTGAATTCAGTTTATTTATGTAGCGCCAACTCACAACACATGTCATCTCAAGGCATTTTACAGTTCAACCCGATCATACAGTGAAATTGATTGCATCAATTCCTCACACCAAGCATACTTGTAGCGACAGTGGAGAGGAAAAACTCCCTTTTAACAGGAAGAAACCCTTCAGCAGACTGGGGTTCAAGGAGACAGAAAGAGACACAGAAAAAGATCCATGCTCTATTAGTATTAGAAATTTGTTGAGCTTAAATTTTTAAACAAAAAGAAAATAAGGGTGTATCTAACAGCAGGGGGTTAACGGATAAAAAAATGTACAAAGACTTTTTTTTTTTTTTTTTTTGCAAAATTATAAGAAGCTCCAAAACATAGAAATAACCCAAATTTTAGGAGGAAATCCTGGGTACACGCCGATTCTGACTTTATTCATTCATGGTTTGGATAACTACCTTTTTGCTTGCAGAAAGACAGAGCTTTGACTAAAGTACATTATCGGAAATCTTATCGATTTAAGGTAAGAAGGTTTTTACATGTTCATTAATGAATTGCAACAAAGCATATTCCCTTATGAAAGAATGAAACCGGGTACATGATATAGATTTACTCTCTCATTATTAAAGCATTATGTTCTCCTTCCTGAGCTTTGCAGCAAATTATAACATTTTAGCTCAAAAACATTGCTTTATTACGAAACATTAGTTCACTTCTGTTTTACCTACATGTACCAGAATATGTGTGTTAGTTATGTGTGTTGATATGTGCTGGGCATTATTTAGACAGCAGAGTCTCTAATGCCAGAGGTGTAAATCTTCCTGTATGTGTTGTTCAGACGGACATTTTTAGCATCATCCCCTTTGACCTTCTCTCTCTACACTTCGGATTCTCCTCCATATATAGATTCAACCGCTTCATCAGGGTAGGTGGGCCTCATTTACTTAAACAATTAAGTTTTTTGTTTTCAAAACACTTTTCACATGCTGGGTGTGGATCCTAAGTCCCTATTTCTGTGTGTTTTAGATAGAGTCTTTCTTTGAGTTCAGTGATCGCCTTGAAAGCATAATGGCCAAAGCTTACATCTGGAGGTAAAGGATCAAGCTCAGAAAAACTCTATGACAATTAACAGTATTAGGGGAACAAAAATAAAAAATCCTGTGGCTAAAGATTGTGGCTGAATGAACTCAACACTGGTGTTATTAGAGGGTTTTTAAGCAGAGTGATTTGCATGTTTTAATTGTACTGCAATTCCCAGGCTGATAACAGGGAAGAAGGTAACATAACTACGTTTGGGGCAGTGATGTTACCAGCAGAAAAACTTTTTAAAATATTAATTTCTTTTTTTAAAACCATTTAAATATTGATGTGTAATTTTGTCTTTTTGAAGTACTTTTTAAAACTTATTAGCATCTTTAGCGTTTTAGCTTTTTATGCAACATATTCTTTATTTTAATATGTTCTGTTTTTTATTTATTTCCATGCTTTAGTCAATGTAATGCGTATTTGAGAGATGTTATACAGTTTAAAAAATTTTTTGTTTGTTTTTATATCTAATGCACAAAACAGAATTAAGCACTCTTTAATCAGAAAATACAACTAATCAGGAATTGCTGTTTTTTAGCTAAGGAAATAGTAAGAAAACCCCAACCATCTAAATTTACTGAAATCAGTCAAGTAAGGCTGATTTCACTAAATCCATTAAGCAATATCTTTTGAGATCTTTCACATTTTCTTGCATGCTTAGTATGTTTCAAGTTGCCCCAGATCATAAAAGTAAGTTTGAGATCTGGGCTTTGACTAGGCCACTTCGGTCCTTGTGTTTTTTCAGATGATCTCAGAATGACAACTATTCATCCCAAACCTTTACACTTTCAGCTACATTCCTTACAGTTCCTATGAGGTTCCTAACAGGAATGAAGCATTTAGTTGATTTATTTTTACAAAAACTAAACTGTGACCTTTAAGTTTTAATAAAAAATCAGTAAGGAGGATCAGATGTATCACATAAGAGTAGCTTACAACCAAGATTCCAAGGTATTAATCAGAGAGACAGCCTGGAGGAAGGCTCCAGTCTTTAACAGGTTCATTGCCTAAGATCAGAGCAACAATAGTGGAGTCATCTGAAGATTTGATGTGCTGGGTTGCAGTCATTCTGCAAATAGAGAATAGGAATTAGGAGAGCCCCCATTTTTAACAGCTGTTGTCCAGGAGAATATGCTGCACAGTCTCAACTGGGATGCATAGATCCAGCAGAGGAACCCCTCTTTTAGGGGTACATTTCTGACATTGGAATTGAACGTTTGAGCCAGAAGGAGCAGTAGAACAATGAAATCAATAAAACAGGATCATAGTATACTGCTATATACACTTATTTTGCTCTTTTATTGCAACATGTACTGATTCCTAAGTTATAGATTTCACAGTTGACCAAAATTAATGTGATCTTGTTTGGTTATTCTGTTTAATTTAGTTGTTTTATGCAAAGGGGAGCCTCTGGCCAACTTTATCAGTGTTGTTCTTACCTGTTTAATAACTTCTAGCGATGAGCAAGGCCTAATTAATATGTCTTCTCTATTTCTGTAGAGCAGTGAGGACATAGCTGTCTGTGTCTCCATGTAGATTTTACTGCAGTTAAATACATTATTGAATTTTATGTCCCACCGTCTAGAAGTAGATACTGTAGATATGTACATTTTACTTAAATGAAATACTAAAAAGGTGAGTTGAATATAAGATATCAATACTGTTAATCTTGTCTGCTTCTGTCTACATCTTGTTACTGATGAAGAGTGGCCCGTACCACAGGTTACCTGCTTTACATGCTCCATCTCAATGCCTGTGCTTTCTACGTAGCCTCAGTGCACCAGGGTCTGGCATCGACCACATGGGTGTATGATGGAAAAGGCACAGCGTATGTACTTTTTTTCTCTGACTTGTTTTGACCCTCTTTTTGTCTCCTAAACTTATCTTAAGGCTGGAAAACAAAAAACCAAAGCGACGTCTACTTTTAGCCGCTGTCCATGGTGCTGAATGATTGTAAAATAGCTGATTATGTGTATTCCAGAGCTCCTGTTTTGAAACAAAATATATTGCACTTGAATTACAATAAATTTATAGAGTCTGCAAACTAAAACTTTTTCTTTAAAGGCTTTTTCAAGTATTGCCTGGGACAAAATTGATTTTAAAATTTAAAAAACCTCATAAAATAGTTATGCATAAAATATGGTTTTAATATATGAGGGAAAAAATATCTGCCCAAGCATACCTAACAGCACAGAAAATATCTAATACATATATATTCTTAACCTAAAAACTGGTTATGACTCCTTTAATCGCATCAACTGTCATCAAGCACTTTTATGTGCTTGTCTTTCCAAAAACTGCATCAATCCAGCTGTTTTGGATATATTTTTTTATACGTGAATGAACTCTACAACAGTATCTCAGTTGATTCTCTCTATGCTTTACCTATGTCACTCCAGGATGCTAATTTCTTGTAGTTTGATAGGCAGTGAGTGTTGGACTTATGGAGGTTCTTTAGCTCTTTTTCCAAAACAGCACTTAAAATTATGCTCATAAACTCTCTGCCATAAATGCATTCATAGTTCAATTAATATAAGAAAATCATCAAGGTTGCAAAAACATTTTGTCTCATCTGAATGATCCAGAAGAGAACTTTTTTATGTATTCATGAAATCTGCAGATTCTTAGAAACATCAAACACTGCTATGCAGCACTTCTTGGAATGGACATCATGTTTGCTAACCCTTAACTTTAATAATTTAGGGGATTTTCTTTTTATTTATTTAACTAGCAGTTAAAGCAGAGATGATTATACATGTGCACAAGCTACAATTTGGATAAATATTTGACTTAGAATGAATGGTTTCGGTATCTTTAAAGAATTTTCTCGAATGTGACACCCACCTTATTCACACAGACTTTTTCCTTTTCATATCAGGGCTAACATCTGGAGATGTTGCTACTGTTTTCCTCCTTACCGTTGTCACTTATTTCTATCTACTCTATGAAGTGTATCAGTCACCCTTACAGCAAAAAACCTGCACAGCATGATCCTTTTTATAGTACTATAAGAGTAATGGATTCTTGCTTTCTGAGGACCTTTACTGCTAATGATGCCGGACTCATTTCAATGTGGCTAATATCCCTCTCACAGCTTCAGTCTGAATCCTCAAAAACTGTTTTTCTTCCAGTCTGTACTATTGGATCTGTCAAACTTGTGGAGGTCCTCGTTTCGTCCCTGATTAATTTGTGCTTTTGATTCTTATACTACATCCATAGCTACATCTTAACTTTATTCAAATGTTGCTTATTAACCTATTAAAAGCTTATAAAACCTTTGCATCAATTTTCTCTGGGCTGTTCTGAAAGCCAAAGTCCAATTCTTTTTCCAGCCTTATTCTAGTTATTACACTGTCACAAGTACAGTGCAACAAAATTTACTCTCTGCATTTAACCTATCCCCTTGGGGAGCAGAGTGGGAGCAAGAATGGCAGTCTGTAGGAGTGGGTTTCAAACTCACAACCTCAGGATTACAAGCTCTACGCTCTAACCACTAGGTCACCACTTCCCTAAATACTTGGTTTGTTCTGACATCTAGTCAACATTAATTGTTTTTGGTAACCCTAACTGACCTAAAATAAACTGCTTAAACCATTTTAATTTCAAATAGTGGGTCAAAAAGTTACATGTATTTCTATATAATATATAGTGACATCTGTGTCAGGGTTTGGTTGTGGTTTGGAGGACCCAAATGCAGAGGCAGAGAGGCTGAGGAGATTTCTAGCAGTTTAATGGGGCAAAACAGTAAGCAAAGGCAGGAATGCAAAAATCCAACTAATAATGAAAAGCAAACCAGAACTATGGAGACATCTGGGGAAACCAAACACGAGGAGCCAGGGAGAGACAAGGTAGGTGGACAACAGCATGGGAGGACAGCAAAGAGAAGGAACCCACAAGGAGTGACAGCAGAGGGAGAGTATAAATAGCTGACTAAGGCAAAGGCAGGGCTAACGAGCTGACAAGGAGCAGGTGTGAGAGGAGACAACGAGGGAGCCAAGGGGAAAGGAAAACACACACACAAGAGGGCAACAGAGGACAACAGAAAAACATGAGAACTAACATAAATCTAGAAATTACAACAAAACAGGAATTAAACCAATAAAACTAGAAAACAAGGAGCAAAGTAAAGTACAACAGAACCAAGACCATGACAATCTGGTTTCAAATGTAATAAAAAATATTACATAAGTAAAAGCCACACATTTATAAATATCATAGAAAGTATTGATAAAACTATATTTTTTTTTTCTACTTTTCAGCAACACCATTCAGATTTACAGAAACAACTAAATCAGATGAATTTATAAAGATTCTGTTTCCATGAAAAATGTATTCCAGTTGAATTCCTACTTCTTGTCTAATTCAAGCATGTATTTTTCCTCAGGTATCTACGTTGCTATTACTTTGCAGTACGCAGCCTTATCAACATAGGGGGCCTCCCAGAACCTGTGACTCTGTTTGAGATCACCTTTCAGATGACCAACTTTTTCATTGGTGTCTTTGTGTTCTCCAGCCTCATTGGACAGGTGAAGCTGATACCTTCTCTTTGGCAATTCTGGTATTATATGTTTTATTTTTGTATATATTACAGTGACACAAAGGGCTATTAATTTGGTAATTAGAGAATTGGAAAAGCTGTAAAAAAAAAAAACATGTAATTCTTCAAAATTAGGTTAAAAAAGGAGCAGTTGCTGTCACTGTGCAGATTAGCTGCTAAAGGAGCTGCTCCGTCTCAACGTTGAGCAGAAATTTTCTCGCTTCACCTCACTTCGCTGATCAGAGAAACTGGACGTGTTGTTTACTGAGTATACGCAGCACAGTCAAAATAGGTGAGTAGGTAATCATTGCTTAATGTGAAACAGTAAAACTATACTTTTTTAAAGATAGGGAGGGGCTGCTGCTTAGAAAGCTGAATTTATAAGGGCTACTCAGAAATGCTTAATTCAAACAAAATATCAAGATGTGCATGATAAAGAAAACATGTTATACCATTGTTAAAATCTTTGGGTATTATGTTTATAATATGGGGCATTTAATTTTGCTCTCTGATAGAAATTATTGAACAATTAATAATATCAGACCATCAGAAACAGCTGTTTTTCTCATCCTTGATGCTTTGATGTCAGATGGATGTGTTTGTCCTGTAGTGCATTGAAAAGGCATCTGGTGTCGGATACACCTGCAGTTTATGAAAGAAAGGAAATTATTTAATAAAAATGGTAAATTAAGGGAACATTTAATTCAAATAAGTAAGATATCAACCTTTGCAAGTCAGGAAGTGATTAACTGCCATTAACTGCATTCAAAAGAACAATAAACACTTTTAAAACAGCTGAAATTGTGATAAATGGGTTGAATGAAATGATGGGTTTTCCTGGTAAAAACTAACCACACAGCTACAATAGAAAGTGACATCTCTGCATCCTGAAGTCTCCATGATCTACATATGATCATGAACATAAACATGATCTACTGATAATTAAGGAGAGCTTCTGTCTCTTTCCTCTAGATGAGAGATGTCATAGGAGCGGCCACGGCAGCTCAGACATACTTTCGGGCGTCTATGGACGGCTGCGTCGCCTACATGAACACTTACACCATTCCAAAGTTGGTTCAGAACAGAGTCCGAACCTGGTACAACTACACCTGGGCATCTCAGGGAATGCTAGGTGTGTACTAAGAAATCCTAACAGAGGTTTCTAAAAAATTAAGCCTTCTTTAGCTCGTGAAAAGCTGAAAATAAGTTCAAAATCTGGGGTGTGCAAACTTTTTATCAGATCAGAAAGTTACCAAAAAATTATATTGTGAGTTTAATCTACCAGCTTAGGAAGATTTAAGAATGCAATATTTCTATATAATACAACTAATTTTCCAAAGGAAAATAAATATGTTGATCATTGTAGAGGGAATATTAAAGAGGATTTGTGATATTAAAACATTATCTTCTAATATTTATTCTATTTTCAGCAATAAGTACAGGATTTTAAAAAACACTTACTGTATGTATTCAGTCTTAATAAGATCAGATAAGACAAGACAAGATGCTCTATTTGTCATTATACATACAGGATACATATGATCAAATGTTATAGTATAAAGTAAGTGAAATAAAAGCTGATAATTGTTCTTTAAATTAAGAGAATCTAAAGGATGTGTTCATTAAAATAAAAATGCTTTGTACACTTGAAAGGTTTGAACCTTTCTGTAATAATTTTGCTGATCTAAAATTAAAGAGTCTATCTGCATGAACCTGTGTTTTGGAGGGGTTAAGTCATTATGAAATCACATTGAAGCCATCCAGCCTCTGTAAACATTGTATCTCGTGTCCTCTTCAGATGAGTCGGAGCTTCTGGACAAGATGCCTCTTGTAATGCGAATCGCCATTGCGGTGGATATAAACCTGGCAACCTTCCAGAAGATCCAGCTCTTTCAGGTGATTCAGCGTACTTTGCTTTAGAACCACACATTGTTTTAAAAGATAAAAGGCATAGAATCACGGGTGACAATATGAAAAAAAAAAGCACAGAATGCCTGAATGAAAAATAATAAAAACATTAAGTTCATGAGAATGAACAAGAACACACTGCATTGGTAAGGTGAATGATCAGGAGTCTGTCTCAGGGCTGTGACCAGCAGATGCTGGTGGACATGTTGCTGAGGCTGAAGTCCATCATCTACTTACCAGGAGACTTTGTGGTGAAAAAGGTAAGTAAGTTGTGCTGATCATGTAATAACTAATGGATTAAAAGCTGAGGTCCTTCATTTCCTTCTGCAGGGGGACATCGGTAAGGAGATGTACATCATCAAAAGTGGAGCAGTGCAGGTGGTGGGAGGACCCGACAACAGCATTGTGTTTGTGACGCTGAAGGCAGGCTGCGTGTTTGGAGAAATCAGGCATGAATCTGAGCAGCTCACCACAATTATTTATGAATTAGTCTTTTAACCAGTTTAATGACTTGGTGTGCTAGTTTTACATTCTTATTGCTTTAAGCCTCGGTTAAAATGATTTACACCAGCTGACATAGGAATTGGTCAGATTAACCTTGACAAATCTGCAGAGGAAAAATTTTAAATTATAGGCTTCATCTAGCTTCTGGTATCTTTCTAGTGGATATCTGACAGGTTTTTTGCTGTCAAAAGTAGCATAACACCTTTAAAATGTAGTAGTTTCTTAAGTATATTATATATATTTTATATATTTTCTATTTAGTTGAATTCAGGGCCCTTCTAGAGGCTGGAGTTTATCCATCTTGAAAGATTATTGTCCTGTCGGATGGTGTGCCCCTTTAAATGTTCTAGCTTTTGAAATGAAGTTCTGTTTGAGAATTTAGAGGCAATTAACAGTATACAGTACAATGCACAAGCAGCTATAATAAACCGAGCAAGGTGCTGCCACCACCGTGTCTTACAATTAGTAGTTTTCATTGTCATTTTCATTTGAAAGCCTAAACGTTTAGTTTTTTTCAATTCCCGTTTGGGATTAATAAAGTATTTTGAATGGAATTGAATTGGACTTAATTACATTGAAGTACTTCTTATAAATCAGTCAATAATCCAGAGAACATTTGGATTGTCTTTCAGGTTAGGTCCAGGTTTCAATTGTTAAAGGGTAGGCAGCTGAGAAACAAAATAAAAACAGCTGCTTCTAGATTAGTTTAAAAAATATGTTCATTCATTTCCTGATTTCTAATTTCTTGAAGTACAATGTTGCACCTCTAGAACCATTTGTGTTATTTTCATTTGAACTGCATCCTGACGTTTTACTTAGCTGATTTTTAGCCCTATCGGTTCTCTTTTCATTTTTGTTCTTGTTTTATTTATCCTCTAAGACTTGATCGATGAGTTTGTTTTGGTGCCTATAGCTTACTACAATCTGCTAAAGATGGAGGGAACAGACGGACAGCTAACGTAAAAGCGTATGGCTTTGCAAACCTGTTTGTTCTGGAAAAGAAAGACCTGTTTGATATCCTTGTCCACTACCCCGAGTCTCAGAAAGTTCTGGCCAAGAAGGGAAGGTGAGTTTATTAGAATGAGAAAAAGAGAGCAGTTATGTTGTTTATAACTTGAAACCCACATGTTTGTTCTGTGATCCCTGAAGGCAACTGATGAAAACCAAAGCTGCAGCAGGGGCTCCAACCAAAGAGGACAAGCAGAAAGGGTTAGCCCTGTTTGGACAAAAACCTCCAACACCAAAGCTCCTCAAAGCATTTGCCAACCTGCGAAAGCTCAAGGTCAGATCTTTATACCGATGCTTAAACTGATGTAGAACCACTCACTAATCTCTGTTCAGACAGAAGACTCTCTCCAATCACAAATCAAATCAGTTATATAAGGTTTTGGCTTTGGATAATTTATGGGAACCCTTTTTGAAAGGTAAAATCATTATACAAAAAAAAAAACTTTTTTAAAGATTAAAAAAAAAAGAAAAAAAATGTAGCCTAATGATTGGGTTGAAGATCAAAAGTCTAAACTTGAAAAAAAACATGGATTGTTTTCTGATTAGTAATCCATAATTCCTGCAGCAATTAGTTTCACTGCACCTTCATAAAAGTAATTTATTTAACAGCATTTACAGGATTGACCTGCATTCAGAACAATGGAAAGATCCAAAAAGCTTAGAAAGATAAAACAAGGGAAGATCTGCGTGATTTAGATCTTGCCTTTCCTCCAAAACACATGAAATAATGGCTGAAGGACCTCCTCTGTATATTCTCCAAAGACTGACTAATCAACTGTTATTTGATTCAATTGTTGAATCAGGATGACCTAAACCACAATGAAGGTTCAAGTCTGTCCTGAACTGACAACTAGACACACAGAACTCTTTGTTGATTTCAAATTGGAGGAGTTAAGATAACTTCTGGAGAAAAAATATACTATAAATGAAGTATGGAGGTGGTACTATCATGCTAAGGGGTGGTTGCAATAGAGGGGAAAACTTCCATAAGATTCTGCTTTTACTGAAACTAGCTTGATAGTTGAAACTTGGACCTAATCAGCTTTTTAATCAGAATGATAAATCCAAACACACATTAAGAAAGGGTTTTGGAATTATATAAACAAGGTGAGAATGGCTGAGAATTGCTGGCATTTGGCTAAAGGTCATCCAACAATAACAGCAAAACATTAGATGGATTAGAGTTATGTGTAGTGGTCCAATAATTAGCATTATTCCAATTGAGAGCTGAATCAGACAGCATCTTCTGTACCTCTGATCCTGTTTGTCTGATCTTTGGAGCTGACAATATCAACAGATTTAAATGAGAGAACCCTCTCCTGGTGTTGGATGTAGGATGATTGCATTATTTTGAACATAATTATTCATACAATTTAAATTTGACATTTCTGTGAAGATTCTCAGTCATCCAGGTCATGGACCCACCACTAGTTAGAAAGGAAGCTTCTTGGATGAGAGGCAAAATGTCGAGTGGCCTAAACGCAACTTGTCAAGCTTAAATTTATCTGACATTAATCCTGATGTATATTCAACGCTCAGATTAAAGCTCTAATGTCTGGTTGTCTCTCTTTTACAGAAAGCTGCAGAGGAGGAGAATAAAGAACAGAATAATTAAGATACGTCACCATTTACTGTACAGTTATTTTGTAAACATATCACATTTCTTTTGATCATAGAGTTCTTCGTGAGATTTTGCATTATTTCCCTTTGACATTGTAAGGAGAGCTTCTGCCCACTGAAGACGTCATGCCTCAGCACTCCGTTTTCATGGATTTGATCATGCTAAAATACCCCATTTTAAATAATTGCATTAAATTTTAATGAATAATAGAAGAAAGACAATAAACAGGACAGAAAAAATTTAATTAGATTTAATCTAACTTAGAGAAGAACAAATTTTACAGTACTGGGCTTAAATTGTCTTGTACAAGCACTGGGAGCAAAAAAAGAAGATGAGCCAAGAAAAACATTAGTTGATCCTTCTGGGCATGTCTTCTATGTTGTCTGGCAGGTGAATGGTCATTGGTTAGGCGTCTGTTTTTTGTTTTTCTGACAAACCTGCCTTGGCTCCCTGCTGAGACTACTACCTGCAGATATTTATGAAAATATCATCTCTTTGCCAGATTGGTTCTTTAGAACATCGACTTCATTATGTTTTATCAATATGGGTTGTTATATCTACTTACGATGCTCTGTGTGTTCCCATTTCTTTACCCTATTCTTGTGACTTCATCCTGATAAAAAGGGACTACTTCTCCTTATTTGACTGCTTAGGGAGATTAAACAACACCTCAGCATATGTACCTTATAGTACTACAGAAGACAAACAATGTAATTTATGGAGATGTATACATAGCTGTTATCTTATGTAATGGTCAAAGTATAACAAACATCTTTGGGATTAATAAAGAATAATCTTAACAAGATTAGAAAGAAAACAACAAAGACTAATGGAACAACTACACCTGGGCATCTCAGACTATTGTGACGATTGTCCTTGTATCCCCATATTCTTAATATCCTCAGTTATTTTATAAACTGTGTCTTGGTTAGATTTTTTTTTTTTTTTTTTATCAAAGTGTCAAGTTGTATTATGGCTTAATAGGAGGTGATCATGATTTACCTTTTCAACATATAAGAGAACTGCAGTGTTTGCTTTTGGTAAATGTGTTTCCAAAAGTTTCACACCTAAACTTGAGGTTGCTGGTTTATAAAACCATAGGGTTTCTAATACTGTGGGATATTCCCATTGCTTGTCATCAAACCAAGATGAATCAGATGTAATGCAGGTTCATTAAAAAAAAAAAAAACATCTTTGCCAGATCTCACTCTAATGCACAATATTTGCTGCATTGGCTATAAGCTCCGTTCATTGCAGAATCCATTGATAATTCCTAGAATGCTGGACATACAGGCCATACAGTGCAGACATGTTGACTAGACAGCTGACAAGTTGTAAGCTAAATGATTAGCTCTATTTCCAGGTTAGATTGGATCTTGTTAGCTACTTTTCATATACTGTGGTTTTACTTTATGCATTTAGCATAAAGGTACACAGCTTTTTGACAGTGTAACTGTATATCATGCAATTGCATTAGTATTTTCGTATGCTGTTATTCTACTGAAAAATGGAATCTGCAGCATGCTTCACACAAGTGCTTGTAAATGTTTTACCAAACATACATGTTTGTTTTTTGATGAATCAGTTGTTGAATAGAATAAAAATCGATAACTATTCAAAAAAGCCTTGGAAAATTTATTTTTAATCTCTTAATTGCGTTATTTTGTATGGATCTCTGTCTGCAAGAGCAAATTAATGTCTAGAAAAGGGATGGTTTGTTCTAAATATTGCACATTTTCTTCACTTGCAGCTTTCAATGTTTTGTTTTGTTTTTCTCTGAAATGGTTCTAAGAATATTAAAGACTTGATGAAGGTTAATTAGGCAGCTTCAGAAACAAGTTAAAACTTTACCACAGACTGCCTCCCCCAGAAGGCATTTCTTGTAAATTATCTTGTTTTCACTCATTTAAAAAGTTATTCTAGAATGATTTAAAAATTAAAGTGATTCAATGACTGAATAGTACAAAATAATGAAAGTCCCTCAAATATTTTTCATATGGTTCCTTTTATCATTCAAGCGGAGTTAAAAAGAAAAGAACTGGAAAACATAACTTTTACAGGTTATCTGTGTTTCTGTAGCAACAATAAACCTCTGACAGACTCACTGGGTCGCTTCCAATAATAAAAAGCGCATTAGCATTGGAATTAGAAACATTATTCTTAATAATAATAAAAAAAACTCAAACTATTTACATCCATTCTATTAGACAGACTTTTCTCCTTGGGTTTACAGCTCTTCCAACATACAATATAAAGCAAAAAATAAAATCCACACATTCATGCATGAAGAACAGGCTAAAAGAACTGAAAATAAGGCAATGGCGTTCTTTTTACTTCCTGACCTCAAGGAAACACTGCACTTAGACGAACCACATATTGCACTGGACATTTAGTTCCCTGCTGCTGCAGAGAGAGAAACTTTAACTCTGCAGCCGCCAGAACATGATCTGTTTGTCCTCTCCGCCTGTGACGACCGTGTTGCAGAGCTCATTCATCCACATAGCTGTGACAGCACCTGCAAAACAATGAATCTCTTTAAAAATGTGTTGTTTCATCAAAATGTATTTCTAAGTTTCTTTTTTATGCAACAGCAGTGAATAGGGGTGGATAGTATCATACTCTTAAGCCTGCAGTGGCATTAACTTGTACCTGAATGTGCAGGGATCCTGTTGATAACTGTATTGCTGAGCAGGTCCCATAGCAGAAGGTCACCTGACTGTCCTCCACAGAGCGCAGAGCTCCCATCCCAGCAGAAACATCTGCACACACATAGAGATGCTGAGAAACCCTACAAAAGTAATGAATGCTTCAAAATATAAAGCTAACAGAAAAAAAATAAACAACATTTCTTCTATGTTGTATCCCCTTAGAGGGGAATACGTGGTTATCACATTTCCTGTATGAATAATGTGAAAGTTTTGACCTGATTCAGTGCTTGGCTACCCTTTAGCTTCACTTTTTGGACTTTATCTTAACACACCCCTCAAATATAAAGACCAACGTCATTGGTTATTCTTTTATTCAAATAGCTCCAGCTCTCAAATTTCAGTCTCAACGAACTTTAACTAGGCCACTATTATGATTAGATCTAAAACATTTCATTGTATCTTCAGCTGTGTTTAAAGTAATTTTACTGCTGGAAATTGATCCTCTGCACCAAACTCAGATCTTTTGCAGTATCTAAAATACCAGCTTCCTCCCAAAAGCATGATGCAGCCCTTACCTTGTTTCACTATGGGTAAAGTATGTGTAAGGGTGTGCAGCGTTTTGCACGCAGGCTGACCGTATATAAACCTGATCTAATTTGGCCAAAGAACCTTCTCCCAAATATTTTCTCCTAAGTCGCTTGTTGCTAAGAGACAATACATGTTATTTCTTCTCCCAACACATTTTCCTTTTCTACTTTTACCTAAAAGCCTGAATCTATTTATTTCTAATCTCACCCTGGACCCTAGTTACCAACTTGCTGTTTTCTAATAAGTGGTTGAACAGGAGTTTATTTAGTATCATTAAAGAGAAAAACCTCTAAATCGTGTGTTTTTCTTTTCACTTGATAATGTGCTGGCCTGGTATTAACAATCTAAATTAAGTAAACTGAAGTGTGTGGTTCATGGATTTGAACACTTTTGCATTTTATATAAAAGTTGGCAGCATCCTACAGCATTAAAGATATTAAATAGCTTTAGAGACCATCTTCATCGCAAAAAAAAAAACTTTTTTTGTTGTTGTTTTTTTTTACCTCTGTTCTTCTTCAGCCTTAACGGATGAGATCACCATTCCAGTCTGAACATCTATGACCTTCATACAGGAGTCACCACCAACACTGAGGACATGTCTGCTATCTGATGAAGATAACAACCACAGACTGGGTTGAGCTTGAGATTTCTAGACAATCAGAGTTCTGAAATATGCTTCCAGCTCCTCAAATACTGATAACATTAACAGGACTTTTCCACAGTGGGATAGAAATAAAATTCTACATTTTCTTTAAAGGAGTAGAAAATGATTCAAAAAGAAGCTTGTGTCCTTTGGAGTCAAAGAGATTTGTGTTCTGCAAATGAACATAGACTTGATCAAAATGTGCATAATGAGATTATTTAGCCATATTCTAGATCTACCAGAAAACAACACAAAAAAAGTGAGTAGCTTGCAAGTCTGACACGGACCAGGGCTGAAGGCTGAATGGTGGATGGTTCCAGCATGGCAGTGGACCTGCTGAAGGGTTTGGTAGCTGCTGGCGTCCCAGATGGTGACGGACCCGTCTTTACAACCAGAAACCAACAGAGTTCCAGTGGGATTTAGACTGACCGAGTTTACCTAAAATATAACACAAATATCCAGTTCAGAATCCTGCAATTTGCATTGGCTCTATATGGGAAGAAGAAAACATCGCATAGCGTAAATATTGTTTTTTTTTTTTTTTTTTTTTTTGTTTTTTTTAGATGCAAGTGTTTAAATAAAGTGATTCAGAGATATGAGGATGAGACTCACCCCAGCATCATGCTCCAATTCAGCCAGCGGCTCAAACTGGCATCTTTTATGACTGGACTGGTTGTTGGAGGAACACTGCCATACCTGGAAAAACAAATAAAACAATAAATTAGTGCTCAATAAGACACCAGCTGCCATAGACAAAGACAAAGGAGAGAGTAATAAACCTCTTTCACTTTTTTAGTAAAAGAATGGGCCAGATTTTTCTATTGTGGGACTTTAAGGAGAAGCATATCATAAAATAATTTACTCTATACCTAAATCTAACACAAAGTGGCCTTATTCATCAATAAGTTCCAAAATGCAAATACTTTGCATGAAAACAACAATCTACACTACAACATTTCTTTTTCTACAGGAATGAAGAGTTAAATACTAGCTAGGTTCTTCTTGTAAATGTAAATAAGTAGCATAAAATAGATTATATTCTCTCTTGAATCTAGTTTGCTCTTAAAACGTAGTAGAGTGGGAGCGATCGTTTTTTCATCAATCTATGTTCCAAAAGATTTTTTACAAGATCTAAAACATTTTTTTACAATTTTTTAAAAAGAAAAAGAGATCAATATTCCTCAGAGAGAATAAGATAAAACTTTTTCTGTAACGTACTGAACCTCTTTTTGATTGTTTTACTCAAATGTTTCCCACTTTGGCTTCATCTTTGTTCTATAAGCATTAAGGGAGAGTTTATACACTCTACCGAGCTTTAAGCTTTTTACCATGTTTTTCATAGGGTTAGAATGATTAGAAAACCTGGTTTTATCTCCTTTCAATTCTGGTCTGAAAAGCAAGAAACAAATTGCACGAAGTTCTCATGTTTACTTTAACGGTGGAATCCCAGGATGCTGTATAGAGTCTGTCATCAAGCCAACACATGTCACTGACAGCATCATCGTGACCCATCAACGTGTCCTGCCGCCGGCCGTACGGGATGGAGTAGAAATAGCTGCCAGGGAGGAAAGAGGAGGTCAAGAAGCACACATTCAAAATTGCAATAATTGTGCGCACACACTACTCACACATTGTTGTCCCATGAGGAACAGATGACGGTTTTGCCATCAGCCAACATCAAGCATGAGGATAAAGCCTGAAAAACAGGGAGGAGGGGGTTGCTGTTTACAAAGGTGACCTGTTTTTCATAAAGGAAACCAGATAATGGAGGAAACTGAGCTGGGTACCATGTTAGAGAAGGAAACACTCCTCTGGAATTCCTTCAGCTCTTTAGAGAACATTTTCAGGGTGGAGTCTGAAATAAAGATGCATATCAAGTTTATACAACACTTTAAGTTTAAATTGATCTAAAGAAAAGGACCATTTAAGAGGGGTGACACAGCCATTTTAACAGGTTGTTATTGCACACCTTGAGATGTGGAGAAGATAGAAGCTCCATCTCGACTCACAGCAATACCCGTCACCGCTCTGGACATGTAAAGCAGAGTTAATTAGAGATCTAGACAGTAAGTATGACACACTCTCTGACTATAAAGACTACAGACCAAACAGTTTGAAAGATAAAAACACTCTCAAGCAGATGATGCTCTCTGCTTCTTATGCATTTCCTCACTGTCATGATTGAAACTAACATTTTCCACTCTGTTCTCCACTGAATTATATTAGAGCCAAACTTATGATTACTCTTTATGGATTTTGTGGCTGGAGATCCGTTTCAGATTTCCCATGTTTGCCCAGGCCATCTTCCTGCTCTCCTCAGTCAGGTCTTCAAAGGAGGAGTCCTCACACAGAGACACTGAAACAGCACATTGCTCTTTATCGGCACAATATACAGAAAGTATTCACATCTATTTGAGTTTTTTTCTACATTTTATTACAGTAAAATCCAAACACAAATACTTGGTTTTATGTGATTGATCAACACAAACCAGCTAATAGATGCCTGGGTTTTTAAAAGACATTTTATAAACAAAAAATCTAAAAACTGTATTTAGGTTTCTTTATAATGATACCGGCCAAAGTAAATAAAGCTTTTTTATTCATGTCAGCTTCGGAGAATTGTACGATACTGGCTTTTATTACTTAATTCATACTATAGAATGTTATAAAATGCTTCATTAAGTAATATTAGGGAACAAAAGTAAAAAACAAAGGATATGAAAACAACTGACTGAGGCAGAGTTTTTCTATCAGCATGAAAATATCAGAAATTTTTAAATCCAATATTAATCTTTTGGCTAATTTTGGACCGATATTTGATATTAATATCGGATTGGGACATCCCTAAAATGTAGTGCTTCAAAATGTTCTCAGGATTCACTCTATAAAAAGTCATTTTCACTTAATTTCACCAAAAATATTACTGGGAAGGCTTTCAGTGTGAAAACAGCATCATGAAGACCAAGAAACTCAGAAACGTTTGGAGGAAATGGGTGAAACAGGCAAAAACAATAAAGAACCACAACTCTGGTGAAGCCATAAGGATGAAAAAGCAAATTTGCGTAACAAAAACAAAAGTTAAAGTTTTGGGCATAGAAGGAAAACAGCCTGTTTTGAAACATAACACAGTGCCTAACTTTAAAGACACTATAGGATGACAAAAGAATCTTTTTTATTAATACAATTATGCAGGTTAATTCATATCAATGCTACAAAAAGATAGAAGTTGTAAAAAATTGAGATGCAGACAGGTTCACCTAAATGTTTAAAAGCCACTAACTTTAATTTTTCTTTTTTTTCAATTAAGGAAGAAGGTTTGATTAATCACATAAAATCTCAACAAATGATTGACGTTGATTAGACCTAGCATCTTGTTTCTGGGTTACTCAGAGAATGATTATGGCTTAATTTAGCTCATTGAGGTTTCATTTCCACCTCTAATCAAGCACACCTACTTCCCATAATCAGAACAAAAGTAGTATTGGAACAAAGACAATTATTGAATTCTTTATTTAAGCTTCATTTACTGGTAAAGAAGTAGTGGATGATGAGAGCTATTACTATTAACGCAGAGGCACAAGTCAGAGATTCTGAGCGTTAAGAGTCTCCTTACCAGGGGACAGCTCACTGACGGTGGAGTTGATGCTTGAGCTCCGGGTAATATTCTGAAGCCTGGGTGTGATCCTCTGAGGGTGTGGGCTGGTGAAGAGCTGTTTGGGCGTCTGGCCGAACTCCAGGATCTGCGTCAGCATCGCTATTCTCTGATCTGTGTCCTCGATGCTTCCAAGACGGACAAAGAAAGAATTGATAGAAGTGATAATCTAGCAGATTTATCTGGAAGAATGAATAATTCTGGTCTGATTTTCTTTCACACCTGTCACAGTCAATCCCGCCTTCATAGGTCAAAGGGTGAAACACTAAAACAAAACAAGATAAAAGATTAAACTTTATATTTAACAGTTTGAGTTGAAAGCGAGCTAAAAACTGTGGCTCTGGTACCATTCTGAGCTGCCACAGCTTCACTGCCTTTCTGTTTGAAGCCAAACACCAAGTCAATCCATTCATGAAGGTGTTCTGATACGTACTGGCTCTCCAGAGCCATCTTCTGCTTTTTAAGAAAATCACTTGCATCTGTGAAAAAAAAAAAAAAAAACACCAAAAAGAAAAAAATTTATAGAGTTTTAAACATTTCTTCAGGCCTTTTTTAGGATAGATATAATAATAATATTTATGTTAAAGGTATAAGTGGTCCTCCTAACATAAGGCTGTTCTACGTGCTTGTCCCATTAGCTACATTTTTCTGTGCATGCGCACATTCAGGTGTATATGTGTGGTGAGCAACGGATTCAGACAGTCATCGCAAAGCATTATGGGACAGTGGCGACTAATAACAGTGGTGACTAATAACAAAGATGGCGCAGGCAGCGCGAGGTGGAGGAGTTACGTGACCAACTGGGAGCAAAAAATAGTGATCTGTCCGAACGGTCAATTAACTGCATTCGCTATAAAGTCCACTATATAGTCCACGCTCTATATAGAGGGATTTAGGGGTTAGGGTGGACGTTCGGACGCAGTAAGCTTGTATGAGCTATGAGAACAGCAACTTTTAAAAAGCGTGTGCACGAGGGGAAATGGGCTCCTTCATGCTGCCGCACGCATTTAATAGGCGTTCTCTCTCAAAAGCGGGTACAGGGTTGTGCATGTCCATTTATTTTATTTATTTTTTAAGTGGAGAGGGCAGGTCTTTTCAAAAATTTGCAAAAATCCTCCACTATACCTAAAAACAAAAAAATATTTGTTGAGTAATGAATGTGAAAAAAAAAACATGGACTGCAAAAACAAACAGATGGAACTTTTGCACAGACTGGATGTGGAACAAAGTCAGAATTAATTTACTGCTGCCAGATCCACCTTATAAATAAGAACTAGTTCCTAACTTTCTTAACTGGTTAAATAAAATATTTTCCCTCATTCATTCTGGAGATAACTTCATAAAAACTCAAGGCTCTTCCAGACTATAAAGGATGTCTTTTTAACACAGTTTCACAGGAAGCTCACCTGAGGCCCACGGAGGAAGAACAACATCACCAACTAAGGTTCCATTCTGCCTTCGGCCCAAATCAAGATTCAACTTGTTTTCCAGGAAGCTGGAATCACTTCCATAAAACTCTGGGATCAGCTGAAATACCAAGAACACAAATAAAACATACATTTATATAATATACTTCTCCACAGATGATGGATGAAGAGGCTTCAGCATGTTTGTCAAAGTGTTTCCTTAATCATTTCTCTAATTCTTTAAAATGCATCTCTGGTATACAACTCCATATTTAAGGTTTCCCAGTACCACAAACTCTGGACTAAACCGATCTTAAGACAAAATCTTATCCAGTTTGCCTTGATTTGATCCCTACTTTGGTGGTTTTAACGATAACATTACTTTCGGAAACAAAGTTTGGTCTGATGCTCAATCACAATTTGCATGCAACCATGGTTAAATCAGGTGTACACAGAAGTTTTTTCTGTTTCTCTGTTGATCATAATCACCTCTGTTTGCCGTACCTATACGGCAAACACTTTTAGCGTTTACCTCTTTAAAGTCAGTTGCTCCCTCTAAGCAGTTTTTCCATGTTTCATTGATGCTGTAAGAAATAAAAAGCACCAATAAGACACAAATATTGTGTCTTGAAAAATATGAAGGTCTTCTTTAATTTCACATATAAACTATTGTATTATTTTTCAAAAGTAAATAGACATTACCAATGTTAGTTGGAAATTTGAAAATAACAGCATTTTAGTAGCAGTTAATAAAGGAAATCAGGATACAGAAGAGTGGGGGTTTTTTGGCAATTAAGTAAGTTGGTAAAAATCTTACCTGTTGAACATGCGGTCTGCGTGGTCATATCGGCCATTCTGCAGACACAGCATGTGCTCTGGAGCTACAGAGCGAGGGAAGCTTCATTTACATGTGATCCAAATCTATACATCTGATTTTATGTTTACCAAACAGATACCATTTATTAAAAGGGTGGTAACTGCATCATTGTATATCTGTATGCAAAAGCTGACAATCCAAGTTTAGTGCTGCAGCGTACCGACTCTGACCAGGTAAAACAGGACGTATCCTGGCGATGAGTAGTGACTTCCGTAGATGAAGCGGGGTTCCGGCATGCCTCTGTACCGGGTCTGTAAGAAAGGAGCAGCAGAGGTTGCAGAGGAGTGTCTCTCTCCACATAGCAAGAGCTTAAAAACAGATCTGCTTCAGCATCTCACCAGGAGTCTGTCAAGCCGCTCTTGATTCAAGGCCCCAATGGGTTTACTCAGGTCTCTGAATGTGGCTGCTTTTGATAAGTCTGGCAAAATATAGAGAATATAAAGAAAAAGTCCTGAATAAGAACCTCTGCTACATCTTCAGTTTTTCCACACATCCTCCTGCTGTTTTTTTGGCCTGTAACACACAGACCAACCCACCCAAGTGCGTGCTGGTGTAGTCTGCTATGACCCAGGGGAAGACGGGGTACTGAGAGAGGTCGTTGCAGCTGCGGTCAGCCAGGTGATTCAAATGGAGAAGATACTCATAGTTGCTGAGATGCCCTCTTTGCCACTGCAGCATGTAACTCTCTGCTGTGTGCTCCTTAACATGGTTCTCTATTTAAAAAACGAAAACAAAAAGAGATCTGATTCATTTTTTAAACTTTTAACACCAACAATTTAGAATGTACCAAAACGGTCTTCATTTGTATTTTAAAGCAAATAATAAATTCTACCATTTTCAAATCCTTTAATCCAGTATTTTTAAATCTCTTCTGTTTTATAAATCGCTCACACTCCACTGTTGAAGTTTTAAACTCATAGGATGTTTTCCTAATGCATTAATGCATAATAACACAGTAGTAGAAGAAATTCTTGAGAGGAAAAAAAATATTGAGTAGTGTTCATTAAAGTGGATATTCCCTCAAACTAAAGCTAGGTAAGACTTGTAAGATGGTTTAACTTCCCTTTCACTTAACAGCAGGGTTCAGGTTTAAAGGTGTCATCACCCAGAATTGTACTTCTTTTCTTTAAACTTGTGTTTTGGTGTTAAAAACCTGCCAAAATATGTGAAGTGAGTGCGAAAGTGGATTTTTTTTGTTGTTGCATGTGTGTGAGGGGAATGTGTTCACAAAAGAAAAGCTCACAAGGGTGCCTTCCCTAAAAGCTTGATTTTTTATATGTATTAATGTCATTCATTGGTGCTTATAATACTAACTTAATTACAGACATGGGAAGTAACGAAGTACAAATACTTCGTTACTGTACCCAAGTAGATTTTTCTGATATTTTTACTTTACTTTACTACTTATTTTTATGACGACTTTTTACTTCTACTACTTACATTTTTACACAAATATCTGTACTTTCTACTCCCTACATTTAAAAAAATTGGCTCGTTACTTTAGTTTTGAATCATTTCAATGGAGTTACCGTTATTATTTTTCACGTCATCAATACCAAATTCAATCTAATTGGATGGGAATCTACGTTGCATTTGACGCACCACTACAAGATGAATCGACAGATTCATTCGCGGCAAATCATTGCAGCTTGGTGGCGGTGGCGTTAGCATAATAGTATGGACGACGAGATGATTAAAAATGAACACAACGGAGATCTAGTCCTATTGGCAGACATCCATTTAAAATGTAGGCAACGGCATGAAAAAAGTGGTTCCTACTTTTACTTTTATACTTTAAGTAAATTTACAAGCCTGTACTTTGGTACTTTTACTTGAGTAAAGAAGTTTAATCAGTACTTCCACTTTTACCAGAGTATTTTTTAACACAAGTATCTGTACTTTTACTCAAGTACGGAAAGTAAGTACTTTTGCCATCTCTGCTTAATTAACTGAAAAAAAACATCAAAGTTGGGGGATCATTAAGGGAACAGCATATAAACATTGGAAAATTTCAGGACATGTGCAGCATACGTGGGAACATTAAATATTTCTTCTACCTTTAATCATGCATCTAAGTTTTCAATTCAAATAAAAACAATTTTAGTAGAGATTTTTTCTTTGAAATAAAGCAATACTGAAGTAACTATGGATAGAATTTCAGTGCTGATTCTTTTTGGCAGCATCCCACGCCTGCACTTGGTTATATTTCTCTACTCCACCATGCAAACAGTCTCCAAACCTATTCAAATTGACATCTGGTCCAAACCCCTCTTCAGGTACATCCAGATATTATGTCATTTTTAGCTTTTTTATAAACGTCTTAGTTATATTGGATCATATCACATAACCCTACAAAACATAGGGAGTTATTAGTGAGCCCTGAATGGGGCTGAAAGATATTGCCATATTAAAAATTGTGGTTATTTTTAACCAAAACTGTAATTTTCCTTTGCACTGAATACTAGCTTAAGTATGTTATTTTAGGGTGTTAGTTTTTTTTGTGATCTTGAAGGCTTGCTTTTCCATAGTGCATTGTTGCAGGACTTTATTAGCCCTGAATGTTTTTTTTTAAAGAGAGACCTCTATTGTGCAACCTTCCTTATGCTTCAGAGTTATGAAGGTTACGGGAGACTGTTGCTCACAAATGAGCCACAATCTGCAGAAAGTCATGCAGCTCCTTCATCACTGCTGCAGTGGCTTTCCTCTAACCAGTTTCTTTTTGTTTTTTGTTTTAGTTATCTCATTGCTGTTATGGTTTTTCTCCATCTATCAACACTTTTCACTGTGCCATAGTGTACATAGATTGCTGTGAATTGTTTTATGTACACCTTTTCCATCTGTCAAACTATATCTTAACCTAAAGAGTAAATCTGAATGAATTTCTACAAACTTCACTCCTTGGATCAATTAGAATTTCAGGTAAAAGTGGAAATTCCTTAACAGACTTGTTTCGTAATACAAATTTCTAAAAAACTGCATGGGAAAAAAAAAAAAAAAAACTTGGAAAGATTTCTTGTGGTATCAGTTTTTTTATCATTAAAAGCTGGTACTTTAACCAGAGCATGTGCTCTTTTCAGAATAACTGGACATTCTTTCCAACATTTACTTTACTATTTAGGCGCGCGTGAGTTTTCTTACCCAGGAAGGTAGCGATATAGTAGTAGATTTCATCTCTGTCGGCTGGGTCGTAGAACTTCAGGTAGATGTCTGAGCAAAGGTTATTCTCACTACAGAACACCTCCAGCCCCTAAACAAACACACAAACACAGAGTTCATCCAACAGCAGAAACAGATGCACGTTAAACATCACTGTTGTTAAAGGAGGATTTCTGAACCTTTAAAGAAGCTCACCAAAGGTTTGAGACCATGCCTTCTTTTGTAGATTCTCCTGACTTCATTCAGTCTGATTTGGATCACATGCTGCTGAAAAAACTTGATGTTACTAGTGTTCGTGTAAAATTAGCTAAAAGAGCTGCTGACATCCTCCTCTTAATGGCGACTACTGTGTCTGTGGACTTACCGGATGTCCATTAAGAGGCTGGAAGTAAAGGTTTTCATTTGTAACGCAGACATGGCCGGGATTGGACACAAGAGGCGTCACCATCTCTACAGCACACTCCATGTGGGGATTCTCTGCAACACTCTGAAAACTTTACAGCAGAGCAGTGGTATATTCTATCACGGTTAAACCACAATACTGGCTACTAAAAAGAATAAAACCAATGAAACATGCATGTAATCTCTATAATATAGGCTTTTACTCACCAGTTCTTATCAAATGACGTCCTTGCCAGTCTGGACTGCAGATTAGCAGCAATCTAAAAATGTATAAACAGAAATTTAAGAGTAAATATGTGTTGCTGGGAAGCAAATAATCCATTTTTAAATGTTACATTTATTATCTAACAGGCTTTAGAGATATGAGACGGGGTTAGGTAATGATCAACTCACCATAGCAGTCTGGTCTCCTAGTTTGTCCAGACAGGAAGCCCTGTGGAGCTACAAGATTTAGGAGAAAAAAAGGACAATATAAGTCAAAAATATATTTAAAAAAAGACACAAGCCCACAGATAAAGAGCAGATTAAACAATTTCACCAAATTTATTTGACGAAATAAAAAGAAAATCAAAGTAGGATTCAACCAGGTTCAATATTTAACATGTGAATACATTCCTGGCCTACTGAGAACAACATTACCACAGAACAAGAACATTTCGGTTGTTCTTTGTTTTGCCACCAGGCCCCAAGTGTTTATTATTGTTACTTTGACTGCCACAGTATGAGAAAAGAAGCCGAGCAAATAGGTGTGCTCACCATCTGATTCCACCATTTTGGAAAAAAGTACAGAGATCCCTCCATCGCCCTAACAATGTTTACCTAAGGCAGCGATTAATTGGCACAATAACAACTTTATGGCACAGTTTTATGACACTTTGAGGAACAGCTAGAATTCAATGTCTATAACACACATCTTGTTAAATAAAAGCATAGAAGTGTGTTGCCAGTGCTTATAAAAGGTAACCTGATTTGTCTGTTTTCTTGTTAAATTAATATTACACATCTTAAACACTAGTATTGAGATTCATCGGTCAACTTGAATATTAACCGCCTGTGTCTAAATCTCTGATATTTGCTCCAGCATTTATTCTTCTTTAGCATTTCTATCTACCGGTGCTTGTATCCCACAGCTGAGATTAAAACTTGACATACACAAGTTTCTTCTACATATATTTTTTAAAGATTTTATTTAATTGTAAATCATTTTTGCTGTCTAGGCTTTGAGTTTATGTAACCTACTGATTTATTGTAAATGTGTCAGTTATTCTTATTGTTCTCTAAGTATAATATTAAATAAGTATTAAAAAGCATGTATGTTTCAAGCTGATCATATCGGCTGAACATCAGCATTAGCAAATACTCACTGATGCAATATCTGTATCCTGTCTGAAATAAAAAATTCGGATCAGGACGCTCCTATTTTTCCCCAACGAGGTTAATACTTAAGACCTACTCCATTATATCAACTGTGTGAAGCTGACATTGTCAATAGTTTCCATCTGGTGTCCATCAGGAACATTTAGGCTTCCCATTTGGATTGTAAATCTTTGACTTTTTAAATAGTTTTTTGTTTAGGTTTGTTCTTAAGGCTTCTCCTCTGTTAAACAAAGTCTCAGCATGTTTTCTTGTCCAAGGTTCTGACAAAAAGTAGTGTTTCTTTCTTGTTTTAAATTAAATATGAGAGGCAGCTGTTGAAAACCTTTGTTGATGAGGTACTCATCTCTATGCTGGATGGATGTTTTAGGTCCTACGTCTTCTAAGCAATAACAGTTTAATGCCCTCTTACTTAAATTACTGAAATAAGGTTTTGTGAATTGGTGCTGTTTATATATAGAGCTCCTTTTCAAATTTGTCCAAGTTGCTGTCGCTCCACTTATCTGATACATGTTAACCAATTTATCCTGCTTTAGCTTCCTTTTGATTTGCTGTTCATTTCTAATTTTAACATTCCTTTGTTTTTAACGTCTTAATAATATCGTTGCTTTTATCTAGCTAGACTGCTAAATCCATATTAATGCTCTATGAAACATGTACGGTAAAGATAAGCTTTCTTCTTCAAATCACTACTTTCAAGATACAAATAATTTTATCAATTTAAAATCAGATTTAAAAATATTAAAACAGCCACATACCTGCAGTAATGTCTGAACCACATCTTCTGTTTTACTCCAAGTTTCTAATTCAAAGGTTAATTTTTTTGATCCCTGCCAAAGTGAGAAGGCAAGTTTATTTAAGGTTATGCATGTTATTGTTGTAGAAACAGAAACTAAAAGAGACAGAAAAACTGTAGCCATTGCATTAGTTTAGAATTATATGGATCAAACAGCAAAGCTCAGAGAGATAAACAGTTTTTAACAACGGCAATTAAAACTACTGGGAGGAGCACATCTTCTCCTCAGCTCCAGCTGACTCACCCTTTCATTTCTGTAAGGCGCTATGACGTTGCTTTCCTTGATGAAAATCACCTGAGGAAAAAAACGGAAAATGGATTAGCTGCTTTTACTCAGTAGAGCGCTTGGACTCAGAAAGAAAAAAAGAAATGCAGCCACAGAAAGTCTCACCTGCTCACATGAAACTGTGATGACCGGAGGTTTAGGACTGAGAAAACAAAAAAAAACATAAATATCTGATGGGTTTCAAAGACTTTTGAAGCTTTTGTTTTTTGCTTGAGAAAGCAAAGTCGTTGGGCTATTAGCTAGTTCTGGGACAAATAATCCCCAAGCTGAATTGGCTAAACAGGACAAACGCAAAAAAATAAAGACTTTGGAAACAGAACAGATTTGTGTCAGTGTGTTTCATGTAAAAAAATTCAAAAACAGAACAGAAAGCAGTGTTGCAAAACAACTGGAAGTAAAGGAACCGGTTTGACAAAACAACAAATATTCAGTGTTTAGAAATGAAAGGACACTCACTCATTGAACGGATTGTTTTCTTTCTCCACAGACTCAATGTTCTGACAGTCTCGCAGAGGAACCTGCACAGACATCATGAACCAGTTTGAATACACTATAAAAACTGACACAGAAATATTTTTACTGCTTTTTTGCATAAATTATCCCACTGTGGGATCATTAAAGTTTATCATATGTCAATCAGCGATTTGCATGAAGAAGAAAAAAACAGACCATTATGAGAACAGTCGTGAATTATCGAAACTTCAAAGAAGAGACGATTATATATTACTTCTAATGTGGTTGTCGGCTCGTAAGAAAGCAATAACCAGAGGATGGCGAAATGATTTGGTTCCAAATGTGGATGACTGACTTAATGTAATGCTAACCATTTATAATATGGAAAAGCTAACTGAATATATTAGACTGGAAATTGAGAAATTTAAAAATATCTGGAAAGAATGGCTTAAGTATATAAAGCAACATAGAATATATTTAGTTTAGGGGCTTATTGGGAAGGCTGGATGCTTATTTAATGGAGGAAACACAAGAATGAGGAAAGGACATTTATAATATAAGCAATGTCGCACTGGAAAAACGATCTAGAAGTAGGTAAAACATTTCTTAAATCAAGTGTATTTACCCTTAATTTGATTAGGTAAATGAGATAGTTTGCCAAAGTAATAGGTATTTTAACTCTTATCCCTTTTTAGGGCAGTTAGTGAAATACTTCGAAATTCAATTTTCAAGCCAATAGTGTTATTGGAATCCAGGACAAGACATTTACCTTTGTAACTTTCAAAAAATATGGATATTTCGAGGCAGAAATTAATGTCAATATAATAAGAAATGCAAACTTTCCCGAATATATTAAGAAAAATAACAAAAGTACTTTTATAAGAAATTCATGAAAAACACTGAGACGAAAAGAAACACTTTTTTTTATTTGGTCCAACATAACCTTAGAGCCATTTATGCTGATACTGGCACTTACATTTTTTTTTTTACAAACCTAAATATAATTGTTAACTAGGCTTATTATTTTTTTAACTTTACTTTTTAAATGTTTTTTTTTTTACTTATCTTTTTTTATACTAACCTAACTTACAGTAGATACTATATCATTCAAGGGCTCCTCTAAATGGTCAAATGCAAAAATAAGATGTGCAGCCATGTAGCAGTATCTTTGCTGAATGGCTGGATATAGATCTTGTACTTCTAGAACTCACTGAGGGACGGGGGGGAACTCTAATTGTAGGGGGTATGCAAGTGATCAAAAACGCTAACTTGCCCTATAAAGGGTTAAAATACGATAATTTGATAACATGCACTAAGACAATTTAATTGTGTTTTCTTATTTTAAAGGTAAATTGTCTTGTTCCATTGGCAAATGTATCTCTTACCTTCTCAATCCAAGAACAAATGCACTTATTTTAAGAAAAAATTACTTATCTAGATTTTGATTTTTTCCAGTGCATAAGAGTTATTTATACCACATCCCTGTTCAAAGCTACAATTTCACTTAAATTATTTAATTTTCTCTTTGTGTTGCTAACTTTTTATGTTCCAAACCTAATATGTTATTATGGAGGCACACAAGGAAAACCTGTTGTGACAATCTTAACGTATTGGCACTGCATTACCTTATTAGTTTGTAAATTTAATCTGTAAAGGACAATAAAATATAAATCAATATATGAAAAAAGAATTATAAACTTGACTTTCTTAGCTTTCAAAAACCCAATCCTTTCATGATTCCAAGGTAAAAGTGTTAAGAAGGTGCCATTATGCTAAATCTAAGTGCAGTTTAATAATCTGTATTAAGTGAAGGATTAGAAATGCATTTCAAATATCAACACAAACCTTTAGAATCGGCTCTGAATGACTGTCAGGCTCAAATATGATGGATCTGGAGCAAACCTTAATGGACCCTCGGATTTTTCTGAAAAGAAGAAAAAAGCAGCACTGTTTCTACTTTGTATCAAATAAAACTACAATAAAAAAAATGGAATAAAGCTCAGAGAAATAATAGAACTGTTGATAAAAGTATAAAGAATCAACATTTCTAAGATCAGGTTTTATTTACTTTCATTTCACTTTTAAAAGATGAAACATTTCCTTATCATTTTATAAAACACATAACAGCTTTAGTGGAGGGCAGGAACATAGTTGCTGTTTTTAGGTTGTTTTCTAAGAATAAGGGTAATTATTTACATAAGATGTGACATCATGAACTCCAGAAAACAGTAAATGAACAGCAGAAAGGCTGTTTGTATAAAGTAAGCAAACTTTAGGACAAGGAAGGAGGCCGAGCAAACCTAAAACAGAACAATGTGATCATGTCCACTGCACAGCTGGAGGAGTTGTGCTTTTTAATGTGTTTAAGTTGATCAGTGCTGCTAAAATCAACTCTGAGAGCAAACCTCATTCATTTTCAAAAATGAAAGAAAGTAGAGTTAAGCTCAGCTTTCAAACAGACTCACTATGTTAATATTTATTGATTGTTTAATATTAATTTCTTTTTAGTTTTTTAATCATATAATATTTGAACAGATCCTTTAACAGGTTCAAGCCAGAACTGTGTTTTAAATGCTAAAAGTGGTGAAACATCAGAGCTCACGTCTTCAAGATTTCAGGCTAACGTCTGATAAAGTCTTTTCATCATGCGAAGCAGGTGTTCAGATTTAGTTTCATGCTGTAGCTTACTTCTCTTTTCTTGAATTGCTGATCAGGTGGTAACCAGTGTGCTGCTCGAAGTAATATTCCTCCAGGTCCAGCAACAAGAGAGAAAACCTGCAGGAAAACAACAAAAAACAAATGAATTAGACCACTGAAAACAGACTATATGCTTTAGAGTCCTAATGTCACAGAGAGTGACAGAAAGAAAAAAAAAAAACAGGAATACTCAATTGGTTAATGAGAGAAACCTTTGACAGCACAGTGTCTCACAAACATGGTTGTTGACAGAACAACTAGTAGTGTGCTCCATAAATCTGGTTCTTATGCTGAAGTTATCATAGGGAAACTATTGTTGAAAGAAAGTCATTAGAATCTAAATGTGTGGCGGAAATAGGGGAGGAGGTGACCTAGTGGTTAGCGCTTAGGTCTCGGAGGTTTTGAGTTCTAGTCCCTCACACTGCGGACTGCTAGTCTGGGTCCCTGAGCAAGACCCTTAACCCCAGACTGCTCCCCGGGCGCCGCACAACGGCAGCCCACTGCCCGCCAAGTGGATGGGTTAAATGCAGAGAGTTCGTTGCTCTGTAATTGTGACCGTGTAATGACAATAAAAAAAAAAATAAAAAAAAAAAGAAACGTTGAAAATTAACACTTCACATCACCCTGGACTCAGCATACCTTAGGTGAAAAACAGCAGTGATGTTCATGCTGTGGGAGCACTATGAAAATGGATGAATAAAAACAAGAAAATCCAATAAAATACATTTTAAAGACTAAAGAAAATAACAGTAAAAGGCTAAAAAGACTGAAGAGAGAAGTTAACTATGCAGCCGGACAATAACGTCAAACATACAGCCTAAAGAAAAACAACTGAAAGGTTTAAACTACTGCAAAGCCCAAAACTAGAATCTAGATCTAAATCAAATGAATCTGTGAAAAGATTTGAAACGTGCTAGCTGCAGTCATTCAGTTTGGCTGAGGCTAAGCCAGTTTGCAAAGAAGTCTGGCCAAATATCTTAGTCGGGATCGGGCTGTAAGAAGCTGGTGGAGAAATATCCCTAAGGACCTGCAGCTGGAAATGCAGCAAGAAGATCACAAACTAATGATTCATGAAAACTGGACACCCAGTATATGCAGGCTAAACTTTTGAGTTCTGGGTTTTTAAAACTACCGTACATTTAAAACACTGTTTTTTATAATTAATGCACAGCTTCAAAATGAACCATCGCACAAAATCCTGATCTAATTGAAGTGTGTGTTGTTACACCCAAAGTGCAAAAAAAGGAGTGTGAATACTTTCGCAAAATAACATAAATAAACCTAAAACTATCCATGGCTCTGGGTAAAGTTTATTATTATCTTTTAATCTCCTGACAGTTTTTTCAGCAGTTATTCTTACCAGATTCCTCCCATATGAGCTGAAAATAATGAGGAGAAGCACTCTGACTGCCTACCATCAGTAATGATGAAAGAGTGAATAAAAAATTATGAAAAACTTTTGAGTCGGTGTTAAAAAAAAGAGAAATACTGAGGTTGTGTTGAACATCTGGTCACATTTGGATGAATCTATAGCAAACAATTATTAAAACAATCAAATTATTTGAATTATTTCCCCACAAACAGCATCCCGGTTCACTGATGACATCAAAGTTTGTTGGGTTTTTTTTTCCCTACTAACCAGATGCTGTTTGCTCAGAGTGCTCACACTAAACAAACAGAGGCTGTCTGTCACAGAGGCTTTACCATCTAATTCATCTCACATGTTTCCCATAAAGAGAATCCCTCTCAGAAAATAAGATTTATTTTAAGAAGAACGAAAAACGCTTCATAAACCACATTAAAAGAGTTTTTCTTAAAACGTCTCCAATCAAAAGTGAAAAACAGCTTCCAAGCTTGGTCAGCCTGGACAGAGAGCACCTCTAAGCTTCAATCTTCAATTATTGTCATAGATTTAAGCTGGGTTTAGATTTGGCCTTTGACTTGACCTTCTCAAACTCAAGTCCTAGCTTTTGTCCTGCAACGTTAAGATAAAAGTTCAACAAGCCTGAATCAAATGGCCTCTTTAGCACACAGTAACATTCGTCCTCCATCAGGTCATTTTTAGCTGATTCAGACTTAGTGAAAAGGAGTCACATCAAAAAGTGAAGTGTAAGAGATTAAAAGCTCTGATCTGAGCCACTCCGTCGCTCTGGCTGGATTTTAATTGCCGTTTTCCTTCTGGAAGGCATCCTGTCCAGCTGAAGGAAAGCAAGAACAACAATTTAGTCATCTCTATTTTCTTGGAGCTGACTGAATCCTATTTACTTAGTTGAATGTGCATCATAAACATTTAAAAGATCAACTGAAGGGGAAATAAACCAGCTAGGGCTGAAACAATTAATCGGATTAATTGTGATTCATTGATAATATAAATAATCGTAAACTAATTTAGTATTTAGTAAGCAATTGATCGTTAAATGGAGTATAGAGACTTTAAAACATGCCTTTAGCTGACAGAGAAACCACTAAGAGCAGCAATTATACAACAATTTAAACATTTCTATATATATATTTTTTTTAAATAGCATTTAAGAAAAAAAAAAAAACTTTTTTTATCTGTCAATATGCTCTATCCAGAACTCCTGGGGTAGAAAAGCTTTAGAACTGTAAAAAATCTTCATTAAGGAAGATTTGGCTAAGCGATTAATAATTGAAAAAATAATCAACAGTTTAAATCGATTTGCAAAATATTCATTAGTTGCAGTCCTAATACCAACTGACTTTTGTTTCATGGGGCATATACCAGAGGCATAGACCAGTATCAGGCATTGCAGGCTAACAAAAGATCTCAACGACTCACCATTCCTAAGGGGCGGACCTGTTCTTCCAGTTCAATATGCATGATTTCTGTTTTGGTCCACTCTATAAAGAAGAGGTCACGGATAAGCGCACTAGGATCCAGATCCAGACCCATCTGCTCGCTAATCCAGACCCAACCTGATTTCGAACATTTATAAATTACTGCATGTTTTCCGACGGCAGTGTCTAATTTCACTTGTGTCGCTTCTCCTGTTCGTACGTTAAAGCCCTCCGTGACCAGGCTGCACGTGATGCTAATTAGCCAGTGAGCTGTGTCAGTCAGTGCTGCTCCCGCTAGCTACTTTTAGACACAGCAGGCCAACCTGTGGCAAGCCGGGCGATGAGAAAGAGGGAGAAGATGAGAAAAAGTGAAAGAAAGCGTGGAGTGCTGGAAGAACTGCAGTGAACTGTTGAAAGAAAAGTGACATCAAAGATGATCCTGCACATTTTGAGTACGTTTGCCTCAACCTGCTGCTGTGAAGCAGGATTCTCCACCATGAATATAATCAAAAATAAATTGATCCAGGCTCAAAATGAGCACCTTGATATGTGCTGATAAACCAGACTAAAAGGGAGAATAAATGTGTAATTTAGTCTGGCCCCGATGAATGAGACATCGGAAGATTGTTGATGATAACAACCCGTTGTTTTTCAAACCATGTCTGTGCCTATTGGCCAACGCTCTGACCAATGAGCGCAACTGACTGTGACGTAGGAAGCGCGACGGAAAGCTGGTGGGGGAGTGTAAACAAACAGCCTGTCTGTAAAATGGCGAATACATCCTTCTTTAAAATGGATGAGCGTAGAGCCTCTCCCTGCTCACGTTTCAACCAAAGCCCCAAGTCTAATCCTTTCAAAACTGATTCCAAAGCTGAGTCAAACGAGAACCGTTCAATAGTTGCTGCCATCTTCCTTGTTGTGCTTTCTCCAGCGTTGTGCAGTTTTGTCGTCACGCCCTCAAAACTTCCTTCTCTTCCTTCTCAATATATATATTTTTTTATTATTATTATTATTATTATTTTAAAAGTCAGTGTATAACATGGATGCATTAAAAAAAACTCATTTTATTTCTGTGTTAAATTATTTTTAAATTAACAGATTATAATTAAAAATGTCTCTGGACCTTTACTGGTTGTTGTTTTCTTTATTCGAACCCCACAGATTTTTATTTGGTTACCCTGCTATAAAGCTTGGAACTCAAAACTAATTCTGACATTGTGAATTGAAAAAGCTTCCGTCTTCAAACTTGGAAAAAATGTCCAGTGGATTGTTTTTGAACTTTTTTGGAATGACTATGACCTGAATGACCGAGAATCTTCACCAGCTCCTTCCTGGGACCTCCTCACAGCTGTATGGGGTTCCATTTGTGCCAAAAATATGTTCATGCGTCTTCTGACGAAGTCTTCTGGCGAAGACGCATTAACATACTTTTGGCACAAATGGAACCCCATAGCCACAGCTAATAACTGCAATTGATCGACGTATTAAGTTGGGGAAATATGATGTCGGTCTGCGTTTGATGTCTAGCTTTTGTTTATCTAAAAAAATAAATAAATAAAGCTACCCCTAATCGATAAAATTTCCTCTTCAAGGTGTCCAAAGCGAGAATGACCTACTATGACCTCAGCTCTTATTAAAGAGGTCAAGCAGAGAGGATTGTTGAGTTTAATTATAGAACAGAGTACAAGTATTATTGTTTTTTTTTTTAGATGCGGCAGATTTCATGTCTGCCCCGGATCAGTCTAAACCGTAAACAGCAGCTTCAGGGGCTTCAATAATGAGAAGCACCCCTCAGCTGTCAGTGAAGCTTTCACTAGCCTGTAAATAAATGACATTCAGCCGCAGTGAAAGCAAACACCCCGCTGGGGGCTTTTTAATGCGCAGCTGCAACGGATAAAAAAAAAAAAAAGCCACGAGCTGACCTCCCAGACGGACACAGTAATAAAAGAGGAAACTAACCGTTCTTTGGTTCGCTCTTGCGTCTTAAAAAAAGCCATGTCGGCGGCGGCGGCACCGCATCCTCTTTAAACTCAACACGGAGCAGCAACAAAAGCAGCAGCTCTGTCAACACGGAAGCTAGTCTGACGTCACGTGACCAACTGTCAGATTAGGATCTTGACGAAGAGCCTTCACTCTGATTTATTTTCTTCTTTTTTTTTCCGAGGTCAGCGACACATCCTCCTGTCTCTGTGTTACAGATTCTCTCTAAATGTTTAATAAGAAAGATACGAGTAATTTCAACAGTTTAGTCAAGAAACGTTTTTTTTTGTTAGTTAGTTTCATCGTAATTTTTAATCATTATTTCTCCACTATTTAAACTGTTATGAATGAAATCTAGGATTTTATGGACAATTAAATAAATAATACAACGGTGTGTAATTGTATATGACTGTTTTGTATATTCTATGAACAGACAAAGTCAAACAAATCAAGAACAAGTATTTTGTTATCATTTCCCAAAAGTAAATATCAATTAACAATAAAAAATAATATCTATCCTTGTTGGATGATGAAGATCTGTGTTACAGATTTTCTCTCAATATTTAATAAGAAAGACACGAGTCATTTCAACAGTTTAGTCAAGAAACGTTATTTTTATTTTATTTTTTTGTTAATTAGTTTCACCGTAATTTTTTATCACGGTTTCTCTACTATTCACCGACTGTCATGAATTAAATCTAGGAACATTTTTTTATAAACAGTCAAAATAAAGTCAAACAAATCAAAAACAAGTATTGTGTTCTCATATCCTAAAAGCAAATATCAATTAATAATAAAAAGTATGATATATTCTTGTCGACCCAGCAGGTTGGTTCCCGGCGAGAGCTTGATCCTGGCCATTATAGACGATCTTTGTTGTATCGACGTGTCGTCAGTGAGGGAAGTTTCCTGGATTGAAAAGCTTCTGTTTTGAAAGGCGCTGCATTGAGTGAAATGTTGGATCTTTCATAGAAATCATGTCCGTGCTGCAGCGCGTCTGTGGAGCATCATGCACTGGAGGAGCCACATCTCTGGCCTCGCCTTCAGCTTCATTTTCGTTGTATCATATTTCACCAACAAGGTGAGCCTTGAAGGTATGAAGTCCTACATAAACTAGAAGACTCTACAGCAAGGATCTAATTTAAGTCCCAAAGAAAATAAGGTGGGAGGTTGTTTCTTTAATGCAAACAAAAAGCACCTTGAATATAAAGGAACACAGCTGAAAGGGCAGAAATAAGCTTGTGGAGCCATAGAAGAGATGATTTTAGGTTAGGTTCTTAAAAACAGAGGAATGATGGAGAGCTAGTGGAAAACTGAAGACAGACTAAAGGTGTTTATCAGATAAGACAAACATTTATCATTATGATCTACATAGAAAATGCCATTTATGAAGGATAAGTAACAGTGCTTATAACCTTCAATATACCAAGCACATTGTGAAGCATGGTGGTGGCAGCATCATGAAAAGGCCCTCCTTTTCCTTCAGCAGTATGAATGTATGAATACTTTTGTAAGGCGCTGTAAGAATGCTGGTACTATCCCTGTCAAAACGCTAACCTAACATTTAATTCATTTGCAGTTCGTCCTGTCTGTGTTGAAGTTCACCTTTCCAACTTTATTTCAAGGGTGAGTAGCTGGGGGAAAAAAGCGCAAGTACTCTGGGCAGTTCTACACAAGGGACTAGTGGGCTAGTCCCTTGTGTAGAACTAGCCCCTCTAGTCCCTCTGCAAGGGACTAGAGGGGCTAGTTCTGGCCCCTCCATTGAAGATATGCTAAAAAATGCTAAAAAAAAAAAAAAAATGCTAAAAAAAAAAAAAAAAAAACTGGTATGCAGTGGAACAGATATTTTCCTTTACAGTTCTGTTGCATCATAATTTAAAATGGAAGGTGGTAGTTTCAGTCCTATTGAGATAGAATCAAAAAAAATTTTATCTACTAAATGTTATTTTTGAACTGAATAAAAAAAAAATACTGTAATTTCTTACAGCTGAATTTCTCATTCTACCTAAATCGTGATTAAAACTGATAATTTCCATTTAGAATAAGTCAGAAATATGCACTATTTCTGCATTATAAATGTACATTGACCTAATATTCAAAATAATCTTTCTATTGTATCTTTTAGTAAATATTTAGTAACTATTTTAGCAACTCTCTTCCCCATTGTAAGGTATTCTTATTTTTAGGTAAAGTAAAACTGACAGTTTAAGGCCAATAATACAACATTTTAAATGGAAGAACATAAAATGTAAATAAATAAAAATCATGTGGAAATGGCAGTTCAATCAGTGCAGAGTCACAAGTAGCTCTTCAGTTCTGCAGCTCTATTGATATAATAGCTATTATCCTTTTTTTGTTTCATTCTTTTCTGTGTGCCCATTAATCCCCCCATTACTAAATATGATCTGGGACCGCCCCTGTAGGTACTGCCTGCTTTCTCAATCCTAAAGTAACAAAGATGTTTTTTTCTCAGATGGCAGACATTTATTGGAGCCATCCTGCTCCTGCTGTCTGGGAAGCTGGGATGGGTGGAGATGAATCCCATCCCGAGGTACTCCTCTCTAACGATTTACTGTATGGTTATGCCTGCCTGCTTTACAGACATAAGAGTCGTCCCTTTTGTGTTGCAGAGCTGCTGCTCTCTCCTGGCTTCCAGGATCACTCCTGTTTGTAGGAAACATATATGCAGGTTCCAGGGCCTTATCACGCATAGTGAGTAACAGCCATATTTAGTGTCTGCAAGTAAATATCGGGGTTTTTCACTGTTTTTTTTTTCCTTTTGCACAGGACATTCCCTTTTTCTTCACGCTTCAGAATTCCTCTCATGTAGTTAGCTACATAATCGCCTGTGCCTTTCACAGAGAGGTAAGTGCATTAACTGCCTGCTATTGGTGTCATATAACCAGCCCTGTGCACCAGCAGCATTCTGTTAGAGCAACAGACTGCAGCTCATCTTCTAGCTTCCCATGCAGGCTGTGAAAATCAGATTATTTAAAAGGGGGAAAAAAACAATTTGGAGAAGTTAAATTCATTGCACTGCTATTGATACCTCTTCTTGTTGTTACATTACAAACCCAATCGCAAAATAAAAATTCCCCTTAAAGAAAAAACAAATGAAGTGCAAAAATATTTTTTATCTACTATAGATTAAAAAAAGTTAATTAATATGAGTTAGTAGCTTACTTACCAGGTTTAAGGCAAAGACCACTTGTGATTTAGAAACTTTAGTTGCTGCACATTTCACCATGTTCAAAAAGTTTTATCTGGATCCATACCGCTGTTAGGATCATTAACATTTTTTCTATCTGCAGTATTTTCTGCCCTTTTTATGTAAACAAAAAGTACCTCTTCTCACATTATTATACAGTTATTATATCTCAAGAAACATGGACCTCTTATGTAGGGGTGAAGAAAAAAAATCTATTTGAGCTCAAATCGCATGTCTAACATTTAAAGATTCAGAATCGATTCTTATGGAAGCCCGTTCCCGCCACTCTGTAAAAAAAGAACAAAAAATTATCTCATTATAATGAGATAGTAACTCAATATAATGAGATACTATCTCATTATATGGAGATACTATCTCATTATATTAGATTAGCATCTCATTATAATGAGATAGTATCTCATTATAATGAGATAGTAACTTATTATAATGAGATAGTATCCCATTATATTGAGTTACTATCTCATTATAATGAGATACATTTTTTTTTCTTTTTTTATAGAGTAGCGGAAACGGGCTTCCATAGATTCTCCTTTTTTTTTTTTTGGGGTGCGGATGTGCCTTATCAGGCACCGTAGTGTTTGGCGAAACCAATGAGCAGCGTGAGCTATGCACAGGCATGCAAGCGTTAGCCTAGCGGGCTACAGAGTGGTGTTTGGTGTTGTGTGAGCTGTGTTTGTTGCTGCTAAAGTATGGAGGACGAAGAAAAAGAAATCCAACCACCTGGACAGTCTTTAAAAGCAACCATTTGGAAACACTTTGGATTTTACCTTTTTACCGAGTAAGAAAGGGCTTGACATGACTCATGCGATTTGCAGAGATTGCAACGGTAAAGTTAAGTATTTCGGGAGTACTTCAAATCCCCGTTCTCATCTCGAAAGACATCAGCCACAGTTGTTGGTAGAGTTTACCTGGATTTAAAAAAATCGAATTGTGACCCCAAGAATCGATTCTAAATCGAATCGTGGGAATCCCAAAGATTCACAGCCCTACTCTTATGTATAATGTGTTGTTCTCTTTCTTCCAACAGAAGAAACAGTGGCTTAAAGTCATCAGGTAAGTTTATTTTTCTTAGGATGGTGTTCCCTTTTGGACATTTTGTCTTACTATAAGTACCCCTCTCAGTCAAAACTGGTGATTGTCTTGTATTGATGAAAGTTAAACAAACAATAACTGATTATAAAATAAAAAGTACTTCATCTTTTAATTTGAACATTTAATTCTTAGGCATTTTATGCTTTCCATCTCAAATAAAAAAAAAACAATATAAATATGTTGATAAACTATAATATGAAGTTAGTAAGGAATCCAAATAAATAGAAAATAAAATTGTATTATGAACCCGCAGTAAAAAATCAGAGCTCCTTCCCTATAATCACATTTAAACTTGATAAAGTGATAAATGCCTTTTGGTTGAAAAAAAGCTTGTTTAATTGGGTCCTCACAAAGTAGGGCAACTGGAGTAATGCTGACCTTTCACAGTCTGGAGGCAAAGGTTTATCACAGATGTGATCAGAGGATGGATGAAAGAGATGTGTGTGTGTTTAGTAGAACCATAGTAAAGGATTTTATTTCTTTGATATCTGTGAAATCACTTTATTCTTCATGGATACGTTTAAAAAAGATCAGCTGTGGATATGTGATATGATTATTTAACGAGGGTCTCCTAGTTTGTTTCTCACAGGACTGAGGCATCTTTGATTTTGTTCATTTCAAAAAGGCTTTATTGATCCGCAAGAGAAATTAAACTTCTCAAAAGAAAGAAAGATAACTTTTCTTGAGACTGTTTGTACCTGATCTCGATATTTAAAATGTCAATGAAATTATATAAATGTATGGGTTGTTTTTTTTTGTTTGTTTTAAACAAACGTTCAAACTCATGATTATCTGTATTTTAAACATCCTTCCTCCTCCAGCATTTTCCTCTTGCTGCTGCCGGCCGTCAACCTTCCCCTCTGTGACCCCCAGGTAACAGTTCTCCATGAACTGGTGGATTTATGTTGTCACCGCCACATTTCTTGTTACTTTCCCTCCTTTCTTCACAGTTTGACCAAAGTGGCTACCTTTGGGCTCTGCTCCATCTCTGCTGTGTTGGTAGGTTCTGGTAGCATCCAAGGAGCCTTTCTGATGGAAGATGTTGCCTGAAGCACCTCATTGTCTGTCGTTTTCAGGTGCATACAGGGTGTTTAAAGTTCAACACAAGTCCACCAATCTGAGGTCGGTATAGCATTTTATAAAGAAAGGGAATTACATGGTAAAATGAAAGGATGACATCAGAGTATGACAAAAAAATTACCATGGGGAACAAAAAAAAACAAGTGTGGAAAAATATTTTAAGTTGACTAATTTCCTAGATGTTTACCGCTCCCTCTGCATGCTAATTATGATTTTACTATAAAAGTGAAATCAACGAAAAGTAAAAACTAGTGTCAGTGCAAAGTGAGCGGGGTTTTGAGGGCGTGACGACAAAGCTGAGCGACGCTGGAGAAAGCACAACAAGGAAGATGGAAACAACTATTGAACAGTTCTCCTTTGACTCAGCTTTGGAATCAGTTTTGGAAGTATTAGACTTGAGGTTTCCATTTAAACGTGAGCAGGAAGAGGCTCTACGCTCATTCATTTTTAAGGACGTATTCTCCGTTTTACCGACAGGCTGTTTGTTTACACTCCCCCACCAGCTTTCCGTCGCGCTTTCTACGTCACAGTTAGTTGCGCTCATTGGTCAGAGCTTCGGCCAATAGGCACAGACATGGTTTGATAAACAACAGATTGTTCTCATCAACAATCTTCCGCTGTCTCATTCATCGGGGCCAGACTAAATTACACATTTAATCTCACATTTAGTCTGGTTCAACAGGCTAGCCGTCCTATTCTTATTAACCCCAACTACACCTTTAATCAAATCGCCCTCCACAGCTGCCAATTGACTTCATTGGGAGTGACACTCAATAGTTAGGGGAAGAGATTAGGGGGCGGTTTGGGATTGGGCCTCTGTCTTTACAGCTACATTGGATGGCAGTTGAGAATGAAGAGTCTAATTCAATGCAACACCCTCACAATTGGATATCAATTGTTTTTTAAGTTTTTTTGTTGTTTATTTTCCATCTGGATTCCTTTTCCTTTTGAACTCAAAAGCCCCGGGTCACAAACTGACAGCCGGATGTTCTCCATGGTCCCATTAAATCACAGCAATCAGTCCTTTCTAGAGATCTTTTAGTCTTGTTTTTTTTATTCCACAGATCCAGCAGTGAACAGACCTCAGTGTGTCCATTGAAACTGAGCCAAAAACATGCAGATAATCATAGTTTATTCATGTTTTCACAAAGGGGCTGGCTTTTTTATGGATGGTTCTGATAGCTTGTATATCACATAAAATATGATTGTATATGATCAGATCAGAGATGAGGGATCTGGAGTCAACAGTTCATCTCAGTGTCCTGTATTTGTTCCGTCCACCAACTAAACCAGGTGAGTCTGCACAGGTTGGACTCATCCACTTAAGGGGGATGTGCAGAACAAATACATGACAGAGATGACTTGTTGACTCTAGATTCCTCATCTCTGCATCAGGATATTTTTCGCTCTCCAAAAAGATTGAGAGCAGCTATCTAAAAAGTATGGAAAAAAATGTGATGTTCAGACGTGATGGTTCTCTGTGGTTCACCATTTTATGAACTTCTAGATTCATAATTAATTTTTTTAAGCTTCTGTTCAGAGCTTTGGTTCTTATTTATATACAGGAACAATCAGCTTTGTCCAAGATTTCCTTTCTTTTTTATTGTTGCATCAATATTTAAAAGAAAAATTGTGGAAGAAAAAAACATTTCTTTTTGATTGATGTTTCTTTTTTTAGTGACATTGAACAGCAATGCATCAACTACTTATTCAGGTAAGAACACATTTGCATGATCGTTTCATTTCAGAGCCCATTTCATACCCTTATCATTTAAGTAAAGACACTGATTTACTGCAGTTTGAATGGTGTAAAGTTATTGGGTATATAGCTTCAATATCTTCGAGGAGCTGAAGGAGTAGGAACATCAAAGGTGGAAGATGACGGATGGTAGGGATGATTTAGAGCAGGATAGCTACAAGGAAAAGGAAGGCTGAATATGGTAGGGAGACATGCTATGACATCTATCAGAGATATTTAGAAGGTGAATCCTCAATGGTTGCATAATCAGCTTTATTTGACTCCATTTAAAGCCTTATATCTCTCTGAACAACAGCGTGCTCCTGCTGGGTCTGGCTGCTCATCCAACAGGTACGTCTAAACACATCAGCGGACCCATTCATCCTGTTTGATATATGCATTTTTACATCAGGAAGCTTTGCTTTACCCTATAGGTGACTTCACGGGTGTCTTGGAGTTCCCCTCTCTGCATTCCCACTCCTTTCACTGCGGCTGCTGCGCCAGGTGAGCGCCCGTAATGTGTCTATATAGCTTTAAGCTTCTACTTGGATCTAATGTGGACTGTAAAGGGTTTCTGTCTTTGCAGCGCTTTGCTGGGTTTTTTGTTACTGCTTTCCACTGTCAGGTTAAAACGTGGGCTCTCCCTGGAGCACTTCAGGGTTTGGGCTTTTCTATCGAAGGTAAAAATAATAAATAATCGGATAAATAAAAATAAACTGCTTTGAAATAAGAGTTTGTTTTCTACTATTTTCTCCCAGGTTACTGCGGTGTTCCTCTCTCCTTTGGTTTTCTACACAGACATCAACTCCATGTCTCTGCTTTGGTAAGACCATTTATTTAATTTTTACATCTATTAAAGTATATATTATCTTATTTATACATTAAAGTAAAGAAAAACACTTCCTATTGAATAGTTTCAAACCAATTCTGTTTTCTCTTTGAACAGTGTGATCGTCAGTCATGTTGGAGAAGCGCTGCTGCTGTATTCAGACAGAGACTCTCCTCTGTAAAACGAAAGAAAAAAGCTGCACTTCTTACTGAAAGAGATTGTACTTTTTTCTATTTCATGTATTTTAACAATCTGAATAAAGATCTATCTATGTAAAAAAAAAAGTGAAAAAATTAAAAATAATTTTTGGACCCTTTTGACTATATTAATTGAATTTAATTAAATATCCGGCACATTTCCAGCGTGTTAAACCTCTTCATTTTATTTACATCATCTACAAGTACCACAAAGTCTTTACAGTCTTACACCCACCGTGATAAAAGAAAATCACGCCATTTGGTTGTGTTAAAGTGTGTCTCAATGTTTCCTGAGCCGTAATGGCAGCAACATATCTGCGCTCTGCGCAGCTTATCTAAACGAATCTGTAGTAATGAATTAGCTCTGCTTCTGGCTTCGCTTTGGGGAGAATAAAGCGTTAAAGGGCTGCCTTCTTCGTGAACGTCCCTGAGGGCTCTTCTCCTCCTTGATGTAACCTAGAAGAGAGGTCAAAGAAAGCTCTAAAGGTTACCGTCACCCCTTTTAGTCGGGTTGAATTCTGTTAAATAACCAAGAGACAATGAGAGGAGTGCAGTTTTACTGGCACAGATCTTCCCCCCCTCCCCCACTTGTTACTTTAATTAAGCCGTTTTCTCACAAATACTGTTTAGGAATTTATAAATGTGAGATTTTGTTTATTGCATGTTTTTCTTTACGGTTTGTGTTAACAGGGTTCCTGCGGGTCCTTAAAAAGTCTTAAAAGGCATTGAATTCCTTAAAATAAAACTTAATTGGTATTAAAATGTCTTAAATCTTTCTTCGGTCTTAATTTTTAAAACATCATAAATAGGATCATTTTTTATTACGATTTATTTTTGTAATCTAAATAAAAGATTAAAATTGACAATTTTTTTTTATTTAAAAAAAATAACGGCTCGTCATTATTGGTTCCGTCCCGATAGCAGAACCAAAAAACTTGTAGTTGCGGCCGGGACATTTGGGAGATGCACCATTAACTTTTTTGTCTGGAAAATATGAGCAAGTGTAAATGTAACCAAAATTGGCTCCAGCCAAGAGTTTTCTCCATGGCTAAAACCAGGGAACATACATGAGGCTCAGTGGATTTTGTGCAAGAAGCGAGTCAAGCTCAGAACGATGGGAATTAAGGCAGTGGAGTCGCACATGCGAAGCACGAAACAAAGTGTCAAAATCGAGTTACAGAGAAACAGCCGGTATTTCTCAGTTTTGTTCCACCCTTGTCTCTGCAACGCCTCCACTTATCACCAAATCAAACATACTAAGAAAACGATACAAAGAAAAATAACTGGAAAAAAGACTTAGCACTGGTTATGTTGTGGCTTTAAAACTGATTATTTTTTTTCCCTGCTAACACAAATTTTTGAATTCAGTTAAATAATTGCTAAATATATCTGTCTAGGGATGCACGATATAATCGGCCCCCTGTCGGTATCGGCCTTAAAAGTGAATATCGGACATCGGCCACCCCACCGATATTTAACCCGATATTTGGTCAGCTTCTGAGTTTCTAAAGTCTGAAAAAAAAAAAATACTATTTCTTCTTCTTCCTCAAAAACTTTGTTTTTACAGACTTAAAAACTTCTAAAGACGAGGGAAAAAATATTGATACATTAAAATATCACAATATCTTCATATGCTGATATATTGCCATTTAAAAACACCATATCAATCTCTTTTACTAATGAAATATTGCTATATGTCATCGTTATGCTACGAAATCCCACGAAAATTCACGAAATTTTGCCATATTTTTATATGTTGATATATTGACGCGGTATCAATCTATTTTACTAACAAAATCTCACAAGAATTTGCAAAATATCGCGAGTTCGTAACAGAACAATGAAATTTCACGAGATTTTGAAAGTAAAATAAATCATACCGCGTTTTTAAAAATCTATTTGATATTAGCATATAAAAATATTTTTGAGTTTATTATTTTTCAAAGTGTCAGAAATGGATAACAAAACTGCTATTTTCAATGGCTACTTATTTTTGTCCAGCTTTAACATCAGTAACGGTATCGGCTACATGAGTTTTAAAATATCGGCATAATGGATATCGGCCAAAATCCCAATATCGTGCATCCCTATATCTGTCATTTGTGTATTTTTAGCTTTCTTCCTGTATGGGAAGCTTTTCAAAATTTGAAACATTAGTGCAGTGGTTTATGTGCAAATAAACCTTTGGGTTAAGTTGTCGCAAGCAGGTTTTTCTTGTGTATCTTGTAAATTTAGTATTTCAAGTGGCATTAAAAAGTCTTAAAAAGTCTTGAATTCAACTTGCCTTATGCTGTAGGAACCCTGGTTAAATAAGACAAGAATGTACTATATGTGTGGAGAAGAGAGTAAAGTTTTTCTGATTTTAAAATCTGTTGAAAGTTATAAAACATGAAGGGTTAAGCTACCTCTTTCAATGCAGGTCTGGGTCGACGGGAATCCGACTTCCCAGAAGTTTTCAGGGGTATTGGGAGGGATGTACAGATATCGATGCCTCGAGCAAGCGGACAGCTTCTTTTGTTTCTCCTCCTCTGGCAGATGGGCGTAGTACTGCAGAGAACAGGGGTTATTGCAGGGAGGACGAGGTTTGGGAACAGGTGGGCTTTAGAATCGGAACACGTACCACTTCACATTCCTTGCACGTGGTGCCCTTCAGTTTCCTCCGCTCGTCTTTCTTGCGAACGACGGCCACGTGTGCAAAGGTCGGCTGCCTGATGCGCACGGAGAGAAAGGGATCACAGCCATGCAACCCATAACGGACCTAAAACGGAGAGCTTTTCTTACCCAGCCTTGCCGGGGAACGCAGCACTTTCAGGATCTTGATCTAGTTTAAGAAATCAGGATACATTTGTTTTTAATGTCAAAAATCAGAGGACAAAAAGGCATTTAAATAAAGCTAAATCTTTACTTTTAATGTCCTCCTTTGCTTCTTCTTCCTCCTCATCATCATCATCACAATCCAGACTCTGATCCAAATTTGAACAGTTGTAAGACTTGTACTCCCCTAAAGTTGTTGCATCAAACATCATGTCCAGGCTGTCATTGGCCTTTTCCCCAAGTCCTGGTAAAAATATTCAAATTATCACCAATGGCGTCACTTCTCCACACAGTCATTAAAAAGATTCTTCCAAGTACCGGACTTCATGTCCTCCCGGTCCGGGCTGTCCTCTCCCCGGCGCTGCAGCATGCTGTGACTGACAAAGGTGCAGTCGGTGTCTGCCATCTCTCCTGGTCGCTGCTCTTCTTCACCTACCTGAAAAGCAGTGATGGTTTCCTTTAAACATCAGAGAACCGGAGGAGTTAACAGGAAGCCCCAGAATGGCTCCTCATGCTGCTATACCTCATCCTCCCTTTGCTCGCTCTCATACACGGACAAGGCGAGAGCAGGATCAACGCTCCATGTAGGCTCCACTGTGTGGTTTCTATTGACTGGGGGAGAGAAATAAATGGACTCAGTCACATTCAGGAAGGCTATAGTTGGTCTCCTGGTTAGTTGTGATCTGTTTTCAGACTCACCGTCTCCTCCATGCAGGGTTGTCCTCCTTCTCCTCCCGTCTGCTTCATCTTTAGCTTTATTGAGTGGCTTCTTGAAAGCAGGACTTGACCAAGAAGCATTCAGCTTTCGGATCGTAGTTTCACTTTGCGTCGCCTGTGAAATGTTAAAGGAATTCCCTTAAAACTGTTTATCTGATCAATCAAAAGCTAATGTCAGACTCTGAAATGCCCTGTGAAGGGAGGGCAGCAACAATAAGGAACTCTTAACACACTGTTGTTGCCTTGTTTTCCGGCTGCTCCATTTTGAAGCTGAGATTAGAGACTGATGTGGAGGGCCGGCTCATGGTTTCAGGTTCTGACTGTTTTCCTTCCACTTGATTGTCCACTTTAACGGCCACATCGCCGCCGCCACCTCGCCGCACCTCTGGATCCCTTTCCTCCTTCTTCCGTTTGGCCTGCTGAACGCAGCCTTCTTCTGAAAATCGCTCAACACTCTGGAGAAGAGACGGCGACCTCTCTGTGTTCAAGTCTGCCCCATGGATCCGCGTGGATGAAAAGGACGAAGGTCTGAGAGCGTGGAAGAGAAGATTAAGCCGACAGTTATTCCATGGATACAGCAGAAGAGTCAGACACTGCTGTACGTACCTTAAACCAATGTTCTGCTTCCAGCTACTTTTTCTGTTGCTTTGATGATTTGGGGCCAAACCCATTTCCTAAAGGCAAATGGAAGACAAATGGAAGAAATAGGTTACTGGGATCAGGTAAAACAAAACAAAAAAAAACAACAAACAAAAGGGTGATTTTACGGTCTTTGACAATGACGGCTTTTTTAACGTACAGCTACTTTTTTCTCTTACATCTAAATGCATGAAAACCATAGTTTTGTTGATGTATTAAGCTTTATGCATGTGTACAATATGTGGCTGTAAGCATCTGTTGTTTGCAACCAAAGTAAAAGAAGCAAAGCTCTGAATTTGATTAAGTCAGACCAAGGCTCTGCAACCTCCAGAGCCACATAGTGGCTCTTTGGACCCTCTTTAATGGCTCTTAATAGTGGTAGTATAGTAAAAAAATGATAAAAAGAACTAACTAATGTACTACAACAGGGTTTCCGCGGGTCATAAAGAATCATTAAAAGTCATTAAATTAAGGCTTTAAATGGCAAAAAAATTCATTGAATGTGATTATTGTGGCATTTAAAATGCTTTATTAAAAAAAAAAAAAACATTTATAAAAACAATTTTGTCAGATATATCAAATATAACATGTTGTGCACGTTTCCGTGTGATCGTAAAGCCGTATGGTCAGAAAAGAAGCTCAAGGCGGAATTTCAACAAAAGTGGCTGGAAAATTAGGAATTCAGGACATGGCTGCAGCCTGTGAACCGTAAAGATGAAGAAGGATTTTTCCCGTGTTTATATATATATATATATATATATATATATATATATATATATATATATATATATATGTATATACACTTGTTGATTGCATTAAAATTATTTCTAAGAGCATTAAAAAAGCATTAAATTGGAGTTACTTGTTCCTGCATAAATCCTGTATAATAACAGATAACAGTCTTGGAACCTTTAGTGGTTTTAAAAAAGAATATTTTAATAGAATTTTCAAAACGATGACATTAAAAGCACCAGAAATATAATTTTTAATGTTTTTTTTTATTAGCTTGGGAATTATGTGTTTTATTATTATAATTTTCTTTTGTATATTAAATAATATCCTATAGAAGAAAATCCATCTCATCTTTATGAATCGTTTTCATGTTTTTACTGTTTAATAGCTAAAAATTACAAATAAATCAATTCCCCAGTCCAAATATGAGAGGACAGGTGTCTGCTTTTCAATGCATGCTCTGATCTTTATATTGGATTAAACCAAACAACCTTTCCACAGGACATCTTTTGAGGATCAGAATGTTCACAATTTGGACAGAGAGGATAGGTGGTTTTAGAGGGGCGTGAAGGAAGCCATCTATGAAAAATAAAACCTTAAAAGAGAGGGATGGATTTCAAAAACCTACAATTCAGCGATAGAGTTGATTCCTTCCCGCTATCATCGCAGCCCCCATACGGGGGAACAGAACCATTTACATGTTCAGCCAGACCAACCGTTCCCCGTAATGACCCCCCTTCAGAGACATAGTCAAGTATCAGGTATTGCAGGCTAACAAAGAACCCAAACGACTCTGCATCGTCTGGTTCAATTTGAATGTTGAAGCCAAAACCAGGCTTTGTTTTTGGTCCACCATATAAAGCCTCAAACTCCACACTAATTCTGATATTTTAAATTGTAAAATCTTCCTGGATGGGAAGTTAAACGTCTTCATACTTGGAAACTAAGTCCAACGGATTGTTTTTTTTTTTTTACTTTTTTGAATGACTATAATACATCAACCTAAATAACTAAAAAATAAAACCTCTGATTTGGTTAAAAGTAATTATTCCACTACATGGGGTTTTACCCTTTAGATTAAAAACCAATCAGAGTCATCATAAATCAAGTAAAAGATACATCATACATGTTAGGAATATATCTGTCAAGCTTAGCGATTGCTGTTTGTGATTTGGTCTTTCAGCCGTACTCACCAGGTGGCGATCGCCAATGAGCTCCAGGCAGCAGGTTTCTGCAACCACCATGTTTGCCTCTTCCTCATTATCTGAAGGAAAGAGTTTGTTTTTTTTAAACCTCTTTACACTTCTTGTATTGAATTGCATTAGATCTACACAGAGATGACTAAAAATATTTGAATAAACTTAAGCAGAGATTCTAGAGAGAACATTTTCAGCTATAAAGCCGCTAAAAATGAAACTTTCTCTCCAGGATTTCCTGGAAAAGGTTTATTTCCCCTCTTTGTGTTCTGATAAAAGTGTAAAATGTGCGCCCTATACTTGAGCTCTGAGATGGGTCCAATTCACAGGTGTTAGGTACAAGCACGTCTCCTCTCCCAGCATTCTTTGCTCCTCCATCAGGCTCTTTCTTCAACTCTTTAATAAACAAAAAAAAGGGACATTCTAACATTATTATCCTGATCAAAGTTGTTTGCTGATGGTTTTCAAAAAGGGGCCGACCATTAAAGATGGAGCTGTTCTGCTCCAGAGGCGTCTCTGCATAACGAACGTGTTTGCTCTTGTCCAGTTGTTTACGTTTCCTCAGCTTGTTTGCCACGGGCAGCGAGCTGGGTAAGATGGGCGAGCCTGGGATGACATCGTCCTCCTGATCTGGCAGCGACGGCTCCTTGGAGTCGGCTCTGATACAACGACAGCAGCTGTTAGAGAGGGGGAAGTGAAACCTTTCTGTGCAGCCGAATCTGAGAACACTTCTAAAAGTGGAGCAAAAAGCACATCCTTCAATAGCAGATGTGGTGCAGAAAGAATCTTATGATGATTTGAGTCAGGTTTCAAAAAAATATTTTTTTTTGTTCCTATAACAGAAGTGAAACTGGAACAATAAGAGCTCCTTTTATTTGTTATAATACATCTATAGTAAAGAATGATTATTAATAGATTACTGTTTTAGCTGAAACAAAACTGCCTAATTTATCTAACTTAAAGTAAAAAGACTTACTGAGAGGTTTTCATCTTCTCCAGTTCAGCTTGAAGCTTTTGGTTTTCATCCTCCAGGCGGTTGTTCTCATTCTCTGCAACAAAATAATAATAATAATAAAAGAAAAGCTTTTAAATACATTCAAACAGGACCGTCACCCCTGGCTGCGTTTGAAGGTAAAAGTAATGATGGTTATAGTGGTACGCCAAAACACACAGTTCTTTACATTATAGCTACATCATTTATACTAGGGCTAAAACAGTTATTCTTGATTAAATAATCGTCAACTAATTTAGTAATCGATTAATCATTAACTGGAGAATAGAGACTAAAATATGCTAACAATTATACCTGAATGATAAAATATATATATATATATATTATTTAGACTTTAATATAAAAAAAAAAACTTTCATCTGTCAATACGCTCTATCCAGAATTCCTCAAGGGAAAAAGTTTTAGTTCCATCTGGTTTAATTTTGTGAAAAGTCTTCCTTAAGGAAGCTTTGGCTATCCGATTATTAATCAGTTATAAAAAAAAAAAAAGACAAATTAATAGATTAGCAAAATAATCACTTTACTTCTGCTTTCTTAGAACTCGTCACCATGGTAACCTATAGCATAAAGTCAGTCTTAATTGGAACCAGGTTGAAAAAAGAAAGACTAATCAACCAATCGATACCCTTACAAAATGACAAACCTAAGAAGTGAAGAAATACTCCTCTACAGAGTGTTCAGCTTGTCTAAAATTTGTAATCCTAAAACTAATTTGGAGTGTTTTGACCTTAATACAAATACTGATAACTACAGATGTATGCACTTCCTAGCTCTTGTTTCCACCTATGAACTATGCTAATAAGTCTTGTTTTCATTTACAGATTTACCACAGTACCACTCAGGGATGATGCTAAGTTGATTCTCTTTAATAAAACCAAGAAAGGATCAATTTCCCTTCAGGAACAAAACTCACTTAGTTTGGAGATTACATCCAGGTTCTGATCCTGACTTCTTCTCAGCTTCTCCTCCAAGACGGAGCAACGATCACACTCCCCTGAACGAAGCCTGGAAGCAGGAAACATTCTCAGTTTGGTGTACATTTGATAGAAACACACCATCACTTAAAATGTAATGCAGATTTAGGGCTTTATCCGGTCAGATTATTGAGAAAACACCAGGAGAATATAAACATTATAGAGAGAATTACACAATTCAAACCACATGTCTCAAACGCTGGCCCAAAATCTGATTCACTACAGCACTGTGTTCTTTCCTGGGCCTTTAGATCAGCCAATCAGATGCTCTAAACACCAGGCTAAAACAGGCCTTGTATTTTTTTTTCCTGACCTTTATAAATGAATGGGGCTTTGACACACATGAAAGATCACAGCAAACTAGAGATTTTGATTAATATTTACTGCTTGGCTCCATATAGATAGCGCAGACCCACTCAGTTCACTGTTTGTTTCTCCAACTCTTGCTTGAATTTCTTTAAAGAATCATCTCTGTAGTTATTTAGTATGAATGTTTTCTTTCTTCCATCCATTAGTTTCATGCATACTTCGCTACTTGGAAAGATTTGAAAAATATTTAACCCTTCCTCCTTTTGTTGTGCCATATGCTATGATCATGGTTCTTGGACATTGGGATCCAGTGTCCATTTTCATCTTGACATGATGACCAGAGAAAGAAATACTCTCAATCCCCCACCCACCCTTCAGCCAACTCCTCCACAGGCAAGTCAGATGGCAAGTCATGAGGACAGTAAAAACCACAGAACACTCTCCTTTCCCTCTCTTTCCCATGAAGCTGGGGTCCACTTCGGCAGGGTCTCATCCGGAATGGAGACCCAGGCCGAAAAGACCCAGATTTTCACAATCATCAAGGATAAGTCATCATGGTGACCTTTCAGAACCAAACTGCTGCAAAACAGACTTTTTGTAACACATTTCTCTTGAGTTCAGAGGTTATAGATTCAGACTGAATGAGAAGGACCCCTGGTGTGAGCCTGAGACAAAGAAGCCCCTGCCTTGCTGAGCCTGACTGCTGAGTGAAACTCAAGTCTTCCAAATGAACAAAAAAGTTTGCAGGTCTGGCATAATTAGGGACAGAACAAGCTATATGTCTTTTAATGATTTTGATGTGTTGAATGATGAGTAAAGACAAAGCTAACAGGATGGACTGCATGCTACGCTATGCTACAGTAAATGTTTTGAGCTGTTGTTGAAGCTTGGACAAGCTTTATTTCACCAAGGGTTTAAACACTGATATAACATTAGTGTTCATATGTTCCTCAAATGCTCGTTACATTTCCATTGCCAAGTATGACCAAGAGTCATTTAGTGGAATCCTCATGTCTATTCGCTGCTAGATATTTCAAAGAGGGTAAAGAATCAATTGACTAAAGGTTACTGGTTCTTGACTAAGCAAATCATTTAATAAAATGGCAAAATAATGTTTTATTCACCTCATGGATTTGCATTGTGAATTGGTTTGAAAACATTCCAATTTCTCTGAATTAGTGAAAAGCTAATTTGATCACATTCCAAATTCTTCGAGAAGATAAACTTTGATTTTCAAACACAATATCCATCTTAAACCGTAATATGGTTTTGAACCATGTTTCCTTTCCTCTTTGTACATAGTAGTTTAGTTTAGTTGAGTTTCACTATTTTTAGTTAAGAGTGCTAAACTGAAATGTGTTTGACTTGGAACTAAATGATTTTTGTTAACAAACTCTTATATTTTAAATAAGAAGGTGTGGTGAATTTATTCCATGTATGTGCAGAATTAACTGTTTGACCATGATTAGAGCTCGAATCACTCTTTCATCTATTGTTCTAACACACAACTAGTATGGCTGTGCATTCATAAACAGTATATAGCTGAAATAATATCTGATTAAATAAAATATTTGCCACCCCTACCGGGGAGGGAAATAAACATCTTAAAGTATCAGAAATATAAATTCCCAGCTGGCTGGGAATAGAATAGAATATAAATCCACAACATTAATGTGGCATCCTACCTGGATGGGCATTGAACATAAAATCCCAACACTTTCATACAGCGAATCTGACCTGTAGTGTCTGCTCCACACCAGGACAGGAGACTAAACTACATAGATGAAAGCAGAAGGCTGTGAGGAAGTTACCGTTCTTCCAGCAGACTGATCGTTTCCTGGAGGCTTTTGTTTTGCTCCTTCAGCTGCTGGTTGCGATTATAAAACAACTCCAGCCGCTGAGCGTCTCTGCAGCAAAGAAAACATGATCTCAGTTATTCCTCCTGACCAGTGCGGTTAGAAAGGGATCTAACATACTCACAGACAGCGATCCTTCTTCAGCTTGCTCACTTTGGCCTCAAGATCTAGAAGGAGACAATAAAAACACTACAGGTGAAGGTTTAAGGAAGTAATTTAAACATTGAATGTGTGCTGTCTGGGTCAGATACCATGTAATGTGTTTTGGTGGAATTCCTTCAGCTGCCTCAACAGATCTTCAAAGAGATCAACTGATCTCATGGGACCGCTGTCATCTCCTGGACTGCTCATCCTGCAGCCAAGGAACCAGACTCTGAAAAACTCACTATTAATACTATTTGCTTATAGGGTTACGAAACTCTCCTTGTATTTAGTTGCTTCCCTGCTCCAACGTGTTAAAAAATATAAAAGAATTAGAGCAACTGAGATACGGCGATCAACTGAAGCAAACCTTGGCCACTAATTTAATAATACATAATAATAATATTACAAAAATCGATAAGGACTACAGTTAAACAAGTCAAACTGCACTACAACTCGGACTTCTTTAAAAAAGGTGCATAAATGACATAAGCAGTTCTTACGCCAACAGTTCCAGGAAATCTCTAAAGTTTGTGAAAATGACAAAAGTTTACATTTCTACGCTGAATTGAAAACAAAAACTATTTTCCTTTTTTTTTCAGCTTGAAGTTTGCGCGCCGAGTTGCATGCTGGGAGGTCTTCTTCTGATCTCAGAGCGTTAGCCTGTAGCTGCAGCGCCCCCTGCTGTTGAAAGAGAGGCAGAAATAGACATATTTAATTTTAAAAGCTTCATGGATGGGAGGCGAAAACGTATTCAAACTTGAAAACAAAGTCCAGTGGATTATCTTTTAAAACATTTTTGAATGACTGTGATATGAAGGTGATTTTGTTCCAAAACTATTTGTGCATTGTAAGTGTGAATTTGAAGTTGTAGCGGGAGTTAAATTATAAGTTTTGTATTTGTGGAATCTAGAGAAAACATTTTTTATTATTATTCTACAAATACAAAACTTATAATATAACTCCCACAACTTCAAATTCACACTTACAATGCACAAATAGTTTTGGAACAAAATAACCTTCATAGTTACTGTCTCAATGAATACTGACACCTGCTGGACATTTAACAACACTACAGACAGACTCTGTCAGACTAAACTTACACTGATTTGATGACCTACATTAAGATTATATTTAAAACCATTGTTTTCTTTAATGTATATTTCATATTTTCATTTAAATTGAAAATATGTTAGATATTTTCAGATTTTTTTAAGTGAGCATGTGGGACTAGGATTTATTTTAGACAATAACTACAGGAACAACAGCAATCTAAGAGTCAATGTGAATTCGGATAAGCTGAGTGATAACTGAGAGGAACAGGATGACACAAGAAGAAAATTAATTCAAATATGAGATCAGAATGGTCCCTCTCAGCTAAAATACTTATTTTCCCCTGATTGAACTGCTCCGTCTGACACATTGCTGTTTTTTTCTTCTTCTCTAAGATTAATTTTTCTTGATTAATTTGATGATAAACCACAAAAGATTGATTTTTATTTTTGTTTGGATTTTGTGGGATAAAACAGCTAAGTGTTTTTTCATAGTTTGACATAAAAATTATACCCAATTAAAAAATACTTTCTTTATACACAAGAAAAAATAAGTAGAGCCATTTTAGAACAATCATTATGTCTTTGGGATATGGGGTACGTCTTTACCAATATTCACAAATCTAGAGAATAATGTTTGTTCATTGTTCTTTGCATAATAGCTGAAGATAAATCAAAAGAGATGAAAAGCATCAGTGATTGGACATCTTAAATTGTTTCATAGATTTATTTGAGAATCTGGGATCCTTAATTCTAATCTATTTGCCTCTGATTGTGGTTTAGAATGGAGTATTCACAAAAAGGAATTGAACAGAGATGTCCATGAAAAACCTGAAAATTAAAAATTTAAAGTGTAACAATACTTCTCATCACTTTCTGGGTATGCTGACCATCCTCCGGATTCTCTATGCTTCCTCACGATAAAAACAAACCTTTTTTCCTTTCCTCCTGTCCAGATAGTTTAGCCAAAAAAACAAAAAAACAACGTTCTTCATTTACCACTCTGTCTATTCTAACCCTGATCTCAGAGCATCTGCCTCCTTCCTGTTCTTTCTCAGACATGTTCTACTGGGAGGAAACCCGAAAACAGGTTTTATGAGGACATAAAAACTTGGATGACTTCAAATGTTTGGCTTTTGAATTCAGACAAGATAGAAGTAAGTTTCTTTGGACTTTAAAACGACCGATTTTATTCTCTTTAATTCATCTGGACTGCATCATTTAGACTTGTAAAAAAAAAAAAAAAAAAAAACACCTTAGGGTTATTTTTTATCAGAATTTCATCCTCTCATATTTGGAATATTGCAGAAACCTACAAATATCTTTTCCAGGAGTGGCGCTGAGAAAAAACAAAAAAACAAAAAGAGTCCATTCATGTTGCACTATGGCTATCTGTATAGTTATGCTGCTATAGGCTTAGCGTGCTGGAGGACATAGGCATTTTCATCATTCTGCTACATTCTACCTCAATTTGCATTATTTGTAAGTCCTACACCTTATTTTATGTTCTTTTTTACTTTTTCCAGATGTAATCAGATGTTTTTTCTTTTTTTTTTTTTAAGAAACTTTTAACCAATCTGATGGTATTGATCTGGATGATTTGGAGCTATATAATTGAATAGGTTGAGGGACTATATGTGTGTCTGGTCTGAGGATCCCCAAGAATAAATTGGAATATGTTGCTGGGAGGGTGTCTAGGCTTCCTTCTTGAACCTGTTGCTCCGGCAACCTGACCTCAAAAGAGGAACATGAATGGATGGATTTTAGAGGGTTATTTTAAAAGATCGCAAAAAGAAAAAGCAACAAGAAACTCCCCCCCCCCCCTTTTTTTTTAAACAACCAGTATATTAAAAACCTGAATTTTATTGTCTCTTTAACAAAACCAGACAAAAAAAAACTCTCATAAATAAATGTGACAAGCAGTTATGCAGCAAACCTGACACCTCTTCAGAAGAAAAGCATCCCACAGCATGATGCTGCCACTGCCATGTTGATATTGTATTCCAGGTAGCCTTTAAATGTTAAAAAAGTTGTTAAAATGTTATCAGGACTAAAAATGTGACACTTCAACAAAAGTTGCATTTCTCTTAACTCTTAGCTAGAGCCAGAATGTGCTGATGTGAAAGAGCGAAAATGAAAAAGTGTAACAAAGGAGGCATAGAGTGGTTTTCCCTTATAGCTGGTTTTTATTTTTTAGAGTACAAAACATGAACCAAAATCACAAAAATAACATTTACAAAACAGATTATTTAACCGAGGTGACTGAGGCAACATAGAAAAGCATGTCTGAAACAGTGATACTGGTGGGTTTACTTTGAGGTAAGACAGAGAGCGATGTCAGCGGGTAAAAAGGCTTCAGCTTTTTCACTTAGTGCCTTCATTCAGTAGTGCTATTCACAACTGGACTTGAACAATATGATGCTTTCCTAACATAGCCACAGTTAGCAGTGATTTAATGCTGTAGTGTCAGAGCTACCCTCCACCCCTCAAGAAAAAAAAGCCATTATGACATGGACACTTAAACAGTTAAACATGTTGAACTATACATGGCACCGCTTTTTGTTTTTCCAATGTTAAGACCGTTCCTTATGCGCGCACACACTGGTCCCACTCATTCCCTCTCATCCAACGGGTGCAAACTATCCCCATCTTCTTTGTTCTTTATTAACAAACACTTCTGGCCAAAATAAAGATCCCAAAGTCTTTTAGACAGAAACATTTCCTAAAAAACATAACATAAAAAAAATGAAACACTCAGGCTGGTAAAGTTGCGGAATGGCTGTCAGTCAGAGGCACAAACTAAAAGATCCCAACTCTTTTTTCCCCCCCTAAAATACAAAAAAAATACTAAGAGATGCTGCATCAGTTAAAGAAAGAATAAAAACCTAGCGTTACATACCTAAAGCGGTGAAAATGGTGGACTCTGCGTAGAATACGCAGGCACGTTTTTGCAGGAATTCTTTTTTTTTTTTTCTTCTTCACATTTATGAGATGGTCACTGGTAATTCAGCATTGCAGATTATTACTCTTTTTTTTTAAGTTCCTTTGGACGTGTGCCTTTTATTGACTTTGCATCTGTCACAGCAGGTAGATCAAGCTAGCATTACTTCATATATCTACATATATATTTATATATTTATATACACACACTCACATGCATTCAACATCATATGTATCCTCCAAATAATAATAATAAAAAAAAAAATCAGAACTCCCTTTTGACCACTTCAGAGTTTTAGCTATAAAAACCTGCATGAGAGTCCAAAGGTTTGCGTTGGAGGTTTTCTTTTTTTTTGCAGTTTGATGTGAGATATGTGGCTGGGCTGCAGAGGCGCTGATGCTGGCGGGGAGAAGAGAAGAGGGGGCGTGGAATGCATCCTTGTGGCTATAGGAGGAGAGGGGGATCTCATATGGGATGGACCTGTTCTTCCAAGCCCCCTCCCTGATCGAACGAGCTCTGATCTATGTTAGTTGGGGTTTAGATTCACATTATGCTGGAAGAAGACTAACTGGCTGCAGACGCTGCTAGGGCAGGTTGCCACCGAGAGCGAAAAACACTGGAGTAGAGTGTGAATGCATATCTACTGCCTTTCCGACCTGCAGAGAGAAGAACGTGCATGGGTTAAATACTGCTTCTTCACATTTTCGACACATTAAATCAACAAAGTATAATGCGGGACTATAAAACAGACCATGGGATTCAATATTATTTCCAAATAAATGTCTAACAAGTATTGCACCAGCTTGTCTCTGTAACTTTAAATTAAATCTAAGGAAAGCAACTTCCCTCGGAAGTATTAAGTAAAAACAGCCTGATTTTGTCAGTTTGAAAGAAGCTGTTCTGTGTTGCTGAAGCAGCATCATGGCAGTCCCTTCATCAAGGCGGACATTGGCAGGCCGTGCCCATCACATTTTGAGTGAATAGATTGGACGTAGCGTTAGACAATTTTTCTTTAACTGATTTTTATTTTTTTAGTTTTATAGATAGATGCATAATGGAGACCAGAGAACACAGCAGACGGGTCAGGGAGACGATGGTGGAGAGGTTTTAATATCCATGGTTTAAAAATCTCACTGCGCTCTGTTCAAGTATCCATTTGATTTAACATAGACATAAATCTTAGCTTTACACAAGTGCAACCAAAAGACAGGAAAACAGATTTATTCTGGCTAAGTAATTAGAACAGTTTGTGTTCCACCAAATAATTTTCATGTTGATGCACTGATTTGAACTTTTTTCCACTTCCAATCCGATTCAGATACTTTAATTTGTTTATCTGCTGAATCTGGTGCTTTTCTGATTCCATAACTCTGTGTGCTGTAATGTTATCATAACTACTGTTGATTTTTTAATAGGCTGTCATAAACCTCTCTATACGAGCCAAATGGTATGAATGAATGTGAACATGTAAAAGGTCAAAAAGGAGGTATAAAAATGGAAAACCGTGTTAAGAGGGCAAACTCCACCGTGACATCTAGCTGAAAGTGTTGAGTCTGGCTATAATGCAGGAGTCTTCAACGTTTTCCAGGCCAAGGACCCCCAAACTGATGGCGAGATAAAGCGGGGACCCCCTAATTATATACATTGGGC